TATTCCTGTGGGGACGCATGAGTTTACGGTTGAGTAAGTATGTGCTGTGATGCTCTGGAGTAGAGTGGAATGGGTGCAGCAGCTGCCTGGGGAGGGAACATAGGAGTCCCGAGGCTCACTCAGGAACTGCAGGAGAGGTGTTTGACCCTTCCCCTGGTGATTCTGGTGCTTCCCTTGGCTGTGGGGACAGACGGGGGAGTGTTATCTGGGTCTCACTGATGTGTGGACAGACTTCCATTGTTTACTGCTTCTTCCAGGCAGTGTTTCGGTGATGGGCTCCACTGGGCTGGTTGTATGATCATTGCACTCCTGGGGCAGCAGCGGCGCTTTGCCGTTCTAGACTTCTGCTACCATCTGCTTAAAGTCCAGAAACATGACGGCAAAGACGAGATCATCAAAAACGTGGTATGTGAATGTCTGCAACAACTTACTTCCTAATTAGGAAAACTTTTTGTGGGAAAGTGTTGTATCTTAGTAACAAACCACCATCTGAAACTTTCCTTGCCTGAATGAATTTAAGCAAGCAGAGCAATGCAACAGACAAAATACTAATTGTTCTATTTTCCAACTGTTTTCAAGATACATTACTTGACATGCTTCATTTCTTATCTTGCACACTATTTTCAGTTTTTTGCCATGTGATTTGTTTTTTGGCTTCCCAAAGTGTGCTTTTTTAGACTTTCTAAGCTATTTTCTTTCAAGAATTCCTTAAAATCTAGAAAATTCTCAGCCATTATCTTATATTTTAGCCACTTTCCATTCCCTTCTGTAAGGACTTCAATTAGACATATGCTAGTCCTGCTCGTTCTGTTTTCCACATGCCAGTTTTCTCTGGCTCCTGCAACGTCACAGGCTTAACAGCTGGATCTCACAATTCCTGTCAGAAGTCTGGGTCTGGTAGTGCTGGTTCCTTCTGGAGGCTCGGAGTGAATGTACTGCAGGCTCGTTCATGTAGGTGCCTATCACAGAATGGGGGTGCTGTTTCATGTGCACTGTTACTTTGCCTGTCTGCTCATGCCTTTCACGTGTGACCCAAGCTCCCCTATGACACCGGGTTGAGAGCTGTTAATGTGGCATTCACTCCTGCTCCAGAAAGTCCTATGAAAACAGTGATTCTACCTGGGGAGACTCCTTGGGTCTTGAAGTTTGCAACCTTAGCCACATCTGCCCGTGTCTGTTGACATGTAAGGTAATGCACTCATGGTTGCCAAGGGTTAAGCTTGGGCATTGTGGAGGGAATAGTTTAGTGCCTAAGCCTCTACTTCTTTGACCAGATAGACAGATCAGTCCTCAAGGGCTCGCAACAGCTGGACCTGAGCTGATCTGGAGCCCAGAGCTTTTTCTGAGTCTCCCATGCGAGTACAGGGTCCCAAGGCTTTGGGCCGTCCTCAGTTGCTTTCCCGTGCCACAAGCAGGGAGCTGGGTGGGAAGCGGGGCTGCTGGGACACAAACTGGGACCCTGGTACATACAAGGTAAGGATTTTAGCCACTAGGCTACCACGCCAGGCCCTACACCATTTTGTTTAAATCTGCTTTTCCAATATAAATAAGATCTTAGAGGAGAAGCAGTGACAAAGATGATCCATCCACTGGTTCACTCCCCAAATGGCTGCAACAGCAGTCAATCCAGAGCCAGGAGCTTCTTGCAGGTCTCCCATGTGTGTGGGAGCAGGGACCCAAGGCTTTGGGCTCTCCACTACTGTTTTCCCAGGCCACAAGCAGGGAGCTGGATGGCAAGTGGAGCAGCCAGAACAGTAACTGGCACCCAAATCGGAACCTGGCAAGTGCAAGGTGAAGATTTAGCCACTAGGCTATTGCGCCAGGCTCTGGTTGTAGCTTTAATAAAGTTTCCCCCTAACTCTAAAAGCCTTTGAAATGAATTTAGGTTGTTTTCCTCCCAAGATTAGCATTTCTTCTTCTCAGGACTAGGTGGTCCCAGTATGGTCATAATTAGAGAGGGTTCTGTCTTCCAGGGTAACCCAGCTTCCTTGTGGCCCAGGTTGTCACCTCACGCTGTTGTTGGCCCTGACTTCTGCTTTAAGTTCTGGGTCTAACATTCCTGGCCTTTCCTCAGTGATCTTACATATCATCTTTATCTTTTGTATCTAAGTTCTTAATAGCTATTGGAGAACAGGCCTCTGGATTTTACATGTGGGCATGGAACTGGCAGAGAAATACACCATAGTTCTAATAGTTGCCTTCTGTTTCTAAAATACCAAGATTCTCAGAAAAATAAAATAGCAAACTATAAGAAATTTACAAGCGCTAATAGTGAGACATCCTAATTGTAGCCTTTGAAGAAGATGGTGGAAAGAATTCGCAAGTTCCAGATTCTTAATGAGGAGATCATCACCATCCTGGACAAGTACTTGAAGTCGGGCGACGGAGAGAGCACCCCGGTGGAGCACGTGCGCTGCTTCCAGCCGCCCATTCACCAGTCTCTGGCCAGCAGCTAAGGGCACACGTGGCAAACAGTAATTCTAATGGCGTGTTTTTCCTTCCATCAACTATTTAGTGAGAGATTTAGGGACTATTTTCTAGTATCTCTGTTACTTGCTAAAGAAAGAGGGTGCTTTTCAATCTAAAAGCTTAATTTTATAAAACTTATTTTTCTAGACTAAAATTGTATATGCTTTTGGTAATTAGGAGGTCTGACCACAGTGGCTGCTCAATGCTCCCATCATAGCTCCAGTTTTTCTACGGAATGTTCCAGCAGCTAGCTATGTCAAAATGCTGCTCAGTTTGTTCCTCCAGTAACTTAATACCAGCTAATTGTATTAAACTCCCTTTGAAAATTTAATCAATGATTAACTGTTTAGCTTTATTGAGGGATTTTTTTTCTGGTCTTTTTGGACAATCTTTTGTAAGTCATTATGCCCTTTTCTGTTTTGTGTCAGTATTTCAGAAACAGTGAACTCCATTCCTTTGCTACCAACAATTCCAGTTGTGACAGAATCCAGTATGATTTAAAAGTTACAGAAATAAAACTAATGAAGCCTATTGGTATTCTTTCATTTACTATGCGCCTGTGCAGTTTGGTTAAGCAGGGTACTCTAGCTGAACGGAAGGACTGGGCTCACCAGATCCTGCATGACACTCAGGATCATGAAACAAGATTACAACACCGTTCAGAACGCTGCTCTCCTCACCAGCACAGTTACCTCTTCCTGGCAAAGGTAAGACAATGACTGTCCCTCTTCCATTTGCAGCAGCCGAAACAGAGTAAGGGCATTTTCCTTTGTGTGTGCATGGCCTGCAGGAAGTCAGTAGTTTAGGAAATTGTCCTGGGGCTGCATTTAACAGAGAACTGAGTGCTGTCTGACTACTGGGTGAATTCTTACATGGTTGCTGGTGGTGCACATAATTTTTCATCATCAATGATGCCATACTCCAAGGAAATGGATAAACTAATGGGTAAGGATGGAGAAGAAACTGGGCCCAACGTGGTGGCCTAACGGCTGAAGCCCTTGCCTTGAACAAGCCGGGAACCCATGTGGGCACCGGTTCTAACCCTGATGGCCCCACTTCCCATCCAGCTCCCTGCTTGTGGCCTGGAAAAGCAGTCAAGGACGACCCAAAGCCTTGGGAGACCTGGAGGAAGTTCCTGGCTTTGGATCGGTTCAGCTCTGGCCATTGCGGTCACTTGGGGAATGAATCATTGGCAGATGGAAAATCTTCCTGTCTCTCCTCTGTATATCTGACTTTGCAATACAAATAAATCATTTTTCAAAGTAAGATTTTCAAGTATTAACATGCTGAAAATGCTAAATTATCTGAACCTGGCAGTTATATTATTTGGAGTGTCAAAAATTCTAGCAATCATACTGATTTCTTATGTTTGCCATTTTCCCACAAGAAGTAGGAATACTTCAGGGGGGCAAGCCTTTGGCAACTTAATACCAAAGGGTACCATGTATGATACAGGAACTAAAGCATCTGCTGCACCAGCAGCCTGGAGCTGGCTGACATTTAACCCAACTATTGAACTTTACCTGAAAATGTTGCTTTTGATCATGTGAATTAATAGCCTGGGGGCCAGGATTCTGCATCGCTTATATAGTTTTGTAAGGCTTATAACCCAAATAATATAACTTATGTGTAATTTCAACTGTTATAATTAGCCTGTACATTTTCAATGAAGAAACTATCACTCCTAGTTTTTCACCCACTGTTGTCACATACAAAGCACAGCTATACAGACCAATATAAAGTATCTGTGGTATTACCTCAGAGGATGCAGATAGGCAAACATGTCTCAAACAGCTCCTTACGTCAGTGATTACACAAGGCAGCTTAAAAGGCTATTCCATTTCTTTTGGAGATGCCCAGCTCCGATGAGGACAATGGCACACTCGGACAGGCCCAGGAGAAATTGCCAACAGTATACTGTTCTTTTTCCCAACTTTTTCTACACATTTCTAAAAAAAAGTATACATTGAGCCAAATGAACTAGTAAGTAAAATAGCTGGTACAAAGAGACCATATTCTAAACATTTTAACTTGTTCCTAAGCATTCAGACTTTAAAACTAGAGTTATTTCTTAAATAATAATATAATAAAAAAGCAAATTGAAAGAATTCTATTTCCCCAGAACTGCTGAAAGGTCAATGACAACATGACTCAATTTCAAAATATATTGAAAAGTACAGGAACTAACAAAATTATAGGCATCATGGATTAGAACAACTGAAGAATAAACCCAGCCAAGCTGCCAAGCAGCGCTTGCCCAGCCCCAGAAATGGAAGGTGCCCTGGCTTGTCCAGGGACTAAGGCCATCAAACCCACACAGGAAACCGGATGCGTGTGAAATGTCACAGGCTGAGAATGATTTGCTTGGGGGTGATTTCCTACCTTTACTTTGTTTTTATAAAATGAGCCTCCTTCACGTAGAAAGTTAAGATTCCTGAAACGAACATTTCATAGTTAAAAATAATTCATCAAATAGGAGTCATTTGGATAGGTAACATTTGTCACATGATAACATTGGGATGATTTGTTACTTTTAAAAATCAGATTTATATAGTCAGGGATTGATGGGCTAAGATGACATGTACTTTTCAGATTTTCACCAATCATGGAAAAATAAAGCATTTTATACACTTTACACTTATTAGTGCATTTAGATTTTGGAGAAGGAATTAAAAGGTAAAATACCTCTACAATGTTAATATAAATCAGTCAGTTTTGAGGTCATTATACTGAGCTACCATCATTTAAGAAAATCAATTTCTTGGTCCAAATGAGTGAAACCTTAAAAAAGATTGTCTTTAGATAACATTATTTGAGAACAATGCATACTGAGACACATTCTGATGTTCGAATTCACTTTACAACAGAATTAAAGATTAGCCTTTTAATTACATCTTTCTTAAAAAGCCGCTACGTTTCCATTTCTTCGGGAGATATTTTCGCCAGTGTGTTGTTCAATTCCACAGGTTAAGCTTTCTTCATTATTATTAAGAACTTCATACATATTAGAGAGATTGCCATTTACTGCTTTTTCATCTTTCCGAAAAGACACGGGCAAACTTGCTAGACTAAAGCTGACGTCTTTAAAGGCATGCAACAGGAAGATTCCCACAATGATTGTAAAGAAGCCACTCAGGGTCCCGATGACATCATCCGCAGGCATAGCTTGCCACTCCTTAAAGAGGATAGCTGAGCATGTCAGGACGGAGGTTGTAAAGAATACATAATAAATTGGAGTCACGATGGAAGTGTTGAATATGTCCAGGGCCCTGTTCAGGTAATTAATCTGTGTGCTCACACAGACAATCAGGCTCAGCAGCAGGATCCAGGCGAGAGGGTGCCGCAGCACGGGCTGTCCTGCCAACAGCTCTTTGATAGCAATGCCCAGACCCTTCACACAGGACACTGAAAATGCTCCAATGACAGAGCAGATTGTTATGTACACAAGAATGTTTGTCTGTCCGTGGCGAGGTCCTACCACGAAGATGAATATCAAGGACACGATGACCACAAGTGTTGCAAAGATCACAAAACCTGGAAGAAGCAAAGACAGTTTTTAGTTAACCAGTGTCCTTAAACACAGAACAGAACCCACAACAAAATGTACTAAGCTCAACAGGATGCAGAAAAGCTATAGGCTTAGAATAAGTGATCTCTCTCTACTTTGGCAAAAGTACACACACTCCCAAGCAGTAGGCCACCAGCACCTTGGACTTCAGTGCTTTAGTCAAGAAGGCAAACAAGGAGAGATCAGAACAGACAGGACTAGTGCGTGAGAAATCAAGGGGCCCTTGACTGTCCAACAAACACACAGACGCCAAAATAACATTTTCCCTCACAACTTGAAATAAACAGCAAATCAGTTTTGAAATAACTGAATAGGGAAAATTAAAACAAGTATGAGAACAGCTAAGAAATATGTGCCAGGTACCTTTCTCAGTAATTTGTGCTCAGCTACTACACAGACACTACCATCTGCATTCTAAGATGACAGGAACAGCTGCCAGGAATGCCAGCATCCCACAGCAGAATGCGAATTCAGACCCAGTTATTCTTGTCCAGCTTCCTGCTGATGCAGGAATGGCCTAGTTTTTACAGGAAGTAAATATATTAAAAAGTACAGGAGGGCCCAGCGGCGTGGCCTAGTGGCTTAAGTCCTCGCCTTGAACACGCCCGGGATCCCATATGGGCGCCGGTTCTAATCCTGGCAGCTCCACTTCCCATCCAGCTCCCTGCTTGTGGCCTGGGAAGGCAGTTGAGGATGGCCCAAAGCCTTGGGACCCTGCACTCGTGTGGGATATCCAGAAGAAGTTCCTGGATTCTGGCTTCGGATCGGCATAGCATCGGCCGTTGTGCTCACTTGGGGGGAAGTCAATCATCGGACGGAAGATCTTCCTCTCTGTCTCTCCTCCTCTCTGTATATCTGACTTTGTAATAAATAAATCAATCTTTTTAAAAAAAAGTACAGGAAAGGATGAGAGCATCAATATTTTGTAAACCAAAGCTGAAGACAACTCATCACTGTTACAGCAGGACCAGGAAAACTGCAGCCCACAGCAGTGATGTCAAAAAAGACAGCGACTTCATCTGCAGCACCTAACACTAAAGACGCACAAAGTCCTGCAGCATTGGGGCAGGCAATGGGGACAGCTAAGTACCAGCTTGGCTGAGGATCTGACCAGCCTGAGAAAGTAGGCAAAGACCACCAAGAGAATGACTAAAGCAAATACAGGGGCAGGCGGGAAAATCTGCCCCACGCTCATCTTGGCATTTCACAAGGTAATTGACAATGCCAGGGTGAGGATGGACATGAAAGCCTGTCAAAATTATGGAAATTTCACGGAGGGAAAGACATCTTCAAGGGAATCTGAGGCTGCCTAAGCAGTTAATGAACTGAGACCCAGAAATGAGCGAGCTGCAGAGGCAAGTCCCACTTTGTGCCCAGTTCCCCTGATGGTATCTGGACACAGGAGCCACAAACAGGAGAGCGTTCAAGTGGACTGCCCATAGGCAAGGGCTGAGCAAGAACTTCAGCCTAGACAACAAATTTGTGTTGTGCCAGAAGAGAATTTTCTTTCAGTATCTTATACCTAGCATTCAAAAAATACTCAAAGACAAATAACTCAATGCCCAAAGACAAAAAGAAAAAGCCAGACAAAAAACAGTTCTATCATTAAACCTATATTACACTGAAGTTAGAAAAGTCAAAGAATAAAAGTAAATGCTTTGAAATTAAAAGTAGAACAGTAGAAATAATCCAATGTGATGCTAAACTGCCACCTCTAACACTGGTACCTCTATCAGGAACTGGATCCAATTTCACCCACTCTGCTTCAAATTCAGCCTCTAGTAATACAGGGAAAGCAGTGAAAGAGAGCCTGCATACTTGGGTCCCTGCCAGCCATGTGGGAGACCTGGAAGGGCCAGTCCTGGAAAATGCAGACATTCTGGGAGAGAACCAACAATGGAATATCTTTTCCTCTCCCTTATTCTTTTTCTACCTTTTAAATAGAACAATAAATATTCAAGGAAAAAAAAAAAAGCTGAAAAATAAAAGCCAAGGATAATCAGAAGGCAGAGCAAAAAAGGCAAAACAAACAAAAAGGCGGGGGGAGAGGATATTCAAGAAAATTAATGTTCTACTTCTAAAAGGTCCAATCAATGGATGGGTAAGAATTTCCAAACAGGGAAAATAATACCAAAGGATTCATTCAATTCAGTTTCTCAGAAAAAGACATGAATATCCTACTCAAAAAGACTTAAAAATGGACTCAGTATCTAGGCATGCCAGTAGGAAATTTCAGGTTCCAAAGTCAGATAATGCTTGGAGTTAGCAACATCAGCATGTTATCTAGAAACAAAAGCAGCAAGGAGTGGGGTTGGGAAACAGATGGCAATGTTTATCATCGATTAAGTAATCTCTATGGGCACAAACACTCTAATTAAAAGCCAATACAGTCGAGAGCAATGAAGTTGTTTTGCCTTCTCCCCCCATTACCTGGATCCCCGAGCTTGTGAGACATTTCATTCAGGGTCTCAATCTCCTCTTCTTTCGGAGCATGAATGACCATAACGGTAGATCCCAGGATACTTAGCAAACATCCAATCTTTCCATGAAGATTAAGTCTTTCATTTAGAAAGTATGAAGAAAGAATGGCACTAAAATGGAAAGAAACAGTTGGGAACTTTAAGATACCTACTTTTTTCATCTTCATCACTAAGACTCAGAATTGACGTCACTGAACTCAAATACTAAGCTTATGAAAATTTAATTTCCAGCCAAGGTAAGAAAATGTACAATCAAAAGTTTCCAGGGTGTCACTTGCTTTGTCCCATTCCAGATTTTACAAAAACAAAACAAAAGTTGTGCACAAATTAATTAAGTACCTACACAGAGGCAGGCATTTGGCCTGGTGGTTAAGACACTTGTTCAGATGCTTGCACCCCATACCTGAGGCCAGGGTCTGAGTCCCAGATCCTAGGAAGCCGTGGAGATGGTCCTGCCACCAAGCTGGGAGCCCTGGGTTGAATTCCTAGTTCCTGACTTCAACCTGGCACCATCCCCACTATTGCAGGCATTTGGGAAGTAAACCAATACATGGACAAGCACTCAAATGCTCTTTCTATGCCAATCAACAAATTTAAAAATATATATCAATATGTAATCTTCTAAAATAATTTATTACACACACATACACAAAATGGTGGTGCAATTTTATTCCCGATTGATGCATCTCTCTTAAATGTTCATAATTATCTGAATCTGCCTATTAAATAATTAGGTTTTAACAATGTATGGAGAGCCTGGTGTAGCAGCCTAGTAGCTGAAGTCCTCGCCTTGTGTTCACTGGGATTCCATGTGGGTGCCTGTTTGCATCCTGACTGCTACGATATTCATCCAGCTCCCTGCCTGTGGCCTGGGAAAGCAGTCGAGGACAGCCCAAAGCCTTGGGACCCTGCACCCACATGGGAGACTCAGAAGCTCCTGTCCCCTGGGTTTATTTCCTGCTATGAAACAAACACTTGCTTATGTAAAGAACTTCAAAAGTTGCCAAAATACAGGTATGCTGAACCTAAAAAATTAAGTAATCACAAAATACTCTAGAGTGAAATACCAAGAATTGTTTCCATATGTGAGTTGCAATGTTCTTACCTTACAAGAACGCTGAGAGCTCCTAGCGGAGTCACCAGCGTGGCTGGTGCGAATGCATAAGCAGCGAAGTTGGCCAGCTCCCCAGCTCCCACTGGGAGATGAACAAAAGAAAACTCAGCTTGGAATACATGCACGTCACTTGGAAATGGCTGTCAGAGCATTTTATGCAGTATCTACTTACTACTTCAATTATCCAGCAACTTTCGTGTTGCTCTTATTTATTAGTGTGTGTGTTCTATGAATTACCAACATCAATTATCAATTTGAAGCAAATCTGTAATTTTCATTGAGAACATCTGATTTATTACATAACCATGTTTCAATACAAATTTTAGATATCTATGTCCTGACAACAGAAATCAATTAAAAGTAGCAAATACTGGCAAGATATTTCCTCCAAGTCCCTTTCCACTGGCTTTTTTTTTTTTTTTAAGATTTTATTTTTACTGGACAGTCAAATATACAGAGAGGAGGTGAGACACAGAGGAAGATCTTCCGTCTGAAAATTCACTCCCCAAGCAGCCGCAACAGCCAGAGCTGAGCTGATCCGAAGCCAGGAGCCTGGAGCTTCATCCAGGTCTCCACGCAGGTGCAGGAATCCAAGACTTTGGGCCCATCCTCGACTGCTTTTCCAGGTCACAAGCAGGGAGCTGGATGGGAAGTGCGGCCATCAGAATTAGAACTGGTGCCCATATGGGATCCTGGCGCATGAAAGGCAAGGATGTTAGCCACCAGGCCATCGCACCGGGCCCAGCTCCTCTTACAGTGCACTAAGCCTTAGGCCTAGATTGAGAAACCTAAGAGTACTGCAGAAAGTGAAAAGTTATTTTGATGCAATAGATTTTGTAAATCCATGCAGTTTTGTCATAATACATATATTCTATCAACTTTTGAAAAACTCCTTGTATAGTAAGGAGTAAGATGAAAGTCTGACTCCAGAACTTTTGACAATCTGTATCATGTGCCTATCTGCAGATAAAACATTCCAAGCAAGAGAACTACAAATATAAAACCCCAGGCCCACTTTGACAGCCTAGTCGTTAAGTCCTTGCCTTTCATGTGCCATGATACCATGTGGGTACCAGTTCGTATCCCGGCTACTCCACTTCTCATCCAGCTGCCTGCTTGTAGCCTGGGAAAGCAGTAGAGGACAGCCCAAAGTTTTGGGACCCTGCACCTGCGTGGGAGACCCAGAAGAGGCTTTTGGCTCCTGGCTTCAGACTGGCTCAGTTCCAGCTGCTACAGCCAGTTCCAGCTGCTACAGCCAGTCGGGGAGTGAGCCAGTGGATGAATGACCTTTCTGTCTCTTCTCTCTGTATATCTGATTTTCCAATGAAAAAATAAATCTCTGAAAAAGAAAAAAGCTAGCCACTGGGGAATCCCATGCAGCGGAAGGATCCTTCTGGGCCTCTGTATGTCTGTAACAGTCTGGCCAAATCTCACTTAGCAGTGAGCCCGCTGGCCCACTCTCCTCACACCTGGTACCATTAGACTAAACAATCTGGATCATTGTATTTATACTTTAATTTGCATTCACATGTTTGCCAGATATATGAAACCTTTTCGGAGAGTGGCCAAAGTCATTATTAAGGTAATTAATTATATATCAAGCATTGGTCTTTTTTAGTTAAACACTCTAAATTTTTTTCACCTTCAGCATTTGCTGTTTCATTCTCTTAAACACTTTTGATCAAAGTCCTTTCTTTGTAAGAACTGAGGTAGGAACTGATTTTACTTTTCCATGTTGATTGTTACAGGAAGTACATCTAATTCTCAGACTTAACATTTTCTCCAATGTATTTCTTATATGCCAAATATGCTTTCTTTTTGCTAATAGTATAAACAAATTTCAAGTATATATTTGACTCTTATTCATAAAAATATGCAGACTTACTTGAAATAAGAATACTCTTGTAAAGCACAAAAACACATCAAATGTAACAAAAATACCTAGCAACAAACTTCTAATATCATCTAATAATTCTATGTGGAACCTTCTCTTTAACTCATAAAAGGTATGCTCTTTAACTCATAAAAGGTAGAATTCAATCAACGGCTCTGCCCCTGCGCCTGCCAGCACTGGCACGGGCGGGCAGCAGGGATGGGCAACAGCTGGATTCCTGGCGCTCACGTCAGACCAAGCATAGGTTTCTGACTCCTGGGATAGCCAATCCCCCCCCACTCCTACGTCATCCCACACCCCACTTTCAGCCCAAAGTAGCAGATGGAGCTCTGACTTCCAAATCATCTTTTTTCCCCCCAAAAAAATCTCCAATTTGAATTGTTGGATTTTATCTGCTGTTTTCTATTATGTATGATTTGTGCAGTCTAAAGTTCGATTATTTTTTATCTTTCCTAAAAACGTATTCTTTGTTCAATTAACAAGTTACACTTTTGACTACTCCAGAAATTACACTTTCTTCTAACATTAATGTTTAGTTTTATTCTTCCACTCAATTCCAGAACCTCAGAACCTACTTTAACTTCCCCCTTTCAATTTATTTGCTCTTGTGGGGGTGATTTTCCCCCCTCTTTTATGTAAGGCTACTTTAGATCCATGAGCTATTGTCGACATTGACTCAGATACATTCCCAAACTCACCATTTCGACTTCCTCTGCCCTAAACTTCCATGTAGACTAATCTCTCTGCTAACTTTGCTGTGGTATAATTATGAATCCATTTTAAACTGCCCAAAGATGTTGGTTTAGTTGAACAGAGAAAGCTACTGCTAGCTACCTTTTCCAGGACTTTGATGCTCTTCTAACAAGAGCTTCCTACTTCCCAGTGATGAAAAGCTCAGCTGTCAATCTGCTACACTTCTGAAATATCCTTTATCACATTTTAAAGATTATCTGAAAGGCAGCAAAAAAGACAGTTAGCACTCCTATCCACTGCTACACCTCCCCAAATGTCTGCAACAGCAAAGGCTAATGCAGGTCAAACCCAGGACCTGAAATCCACCTGTCACATGGTTGGTAAGGATCCAGTCACTTGAGTCACCACTTGCTGCCTTGCCACATACACACTACTACGAATGTATACGCAGGGAGAGTAAAACTCAACCCCTGGCACCCCAATTTGGTTATGAGGGTGTCTTTGCTACTACACCAAATGTCTGCCTCTTGACTGCTTTTAAAGTACTCTATTTTTATAAGTTTGTTTTTTTAAGATTTATTTGAAAGAATTGCAGAAAGAAAAGGAGAGACACAGCAAGAGATTTTCATCCACTGGTTCACTACCCAGATGGCCACAATAACCAGGGCTGGGCCAAGCCCAAGCCAGGAGCTTCTTCCAAGTTTCCCACATGGGTAAACTTGGAAATTGGCCATCTTCTGCTGCTGCTTTTCCCAGTTCATTAGCAAGGGGTTAGATCAGAAGTGGAGCAGAGAGAGCACAAACTGGCAGCAACATAGTATGCCACTGTAGCAGATGGCAATTTAAACTGCTACACCACAATGCCAGCCCCCAGTTTTGTATGTATTACTATGATGTGCTCAGCTCCAGTTTGTTTCTTTTTCATAGATAACTAAAGGTATTGGTTGGGCTTCTTCAATATGGGGTTTTGGAACTTTGATCATGGGACAATTCCAAGTCATTTTCTCCTTAAACATTGCTGCTCCACTCTGTTCTGCAGTCAGACTCCAATTATTCACTGAGTCCTTCAAGTTCCATAACCTTATTTAACCATCCTGTTGTCTCCACTTGCTTCATTTCACACTCTCCCAAACTATACCCAGTTCACTGAATTTCCTTCCAACCATACCTAACCTACTGTTAGGCAATTCATTTACGTTCCATTAATCTATTTTTTAAATCCTATAATTCTTATTCTTTTATAGATGTGGATGTCATCAGAGTCTGACAATCACAATTCTTTGTGGTAAGCACAGCTGTTCAATGACGGTTCCAATGCGTCAGGTTTCTGGTTTTTTGTTTCATTTTGTTTTGTTTTTGCTTAATTTCCCTAACTTCACATACCTCCTTTTTGGGAGACATTTAGAAAAATTACTGACTTAACTTTTACTTTGGGCCACAGGGTGCCAGAGAGCATTAGCAGCTGACAGCCGAGGCTGGAGCTCACTCAGTGGACACCGATGCCCAGCTGCCAGGGCCCCTCGCCCACTCCCGAAGCACAGCCTCCCCAGTGTTCTCAGGGCAGGTGCCATTTCCTTTCCTTGGCAGCATCAGTCCCGGACTCCAGTAGATCAAAGGTGTACTTGGTAATCCACTGCAGTTGTCCCTGATCTTAACCAGGTAACTCTTTACTGTGTTAGCTCTTAGATCATTTCTATATTTTATTGTTTTTTATTTGGAGCGTTTTTTAAAAAAAATTATTTCTTTGGAAGTCAAAAACTAACAGGCAGAGAAGAACAGAAAGAAAAAGATCTTCCATGTGCTGGTTCATTTCCCAAACACAATGGCCATCACTGGGCTGAACTGAAGCCAGGAACTGCATGCAGGTGATCATGTGGTAGCAGGGCCTAGGCACTTGGGCTGTCTTCCCGTTTTGCCCAGACCATTAGTGACACCCAGGTTGTAAACAGAGAAGTCGGGACATGAACTGGCATCCACACGAGTTGCTGACATTGTATGCTGTGGCTTTACATGCTATGCCACAGTGCTCGTTCCTTATTCAGTTTTTTAAAACTTAAGTTTGGGAGCTGGTGCTGTGGCACAGCCCATTAAGCACTGCCTCCAACACTACCATTCCCTATCAAGAGTGCCAGACTATTCCACATTCAATCCAGCTCCCTGCTAATGCAACAAGGTAAGAACAGGAGATGGCTCAAGTACTTGCACCCCTGCCACGCACACAGGAGACCTAGATGGAGTTCCCGGCGCCTGGTTCAGTCTGGCTCAGCTCTGGCCACTGCAGACATTTGGAGAGTGAACCAGCACATGTGATCTTTCTGTCTCTCCTTCTCTGTAAAACCTGCCTTTCCAATAAAAACAAATCAATCTTTTAAAACATTTTTAGCAAGTTTAAACAATAGGAAACTCTTTACTCATGGTTTCTCTTGGACATGTTGGTCAAGACTTTAGGAGGGGTCAGGGAGCGGTTCACATTCAGGATCCTTTAAGACTGAGGTCAAGATCACGCTGAAGCTGCAGGTGTCCCAGAACTGGGCTGCAGCTGGAAGACTCAAATCCAAGGTGACTCGCTCACGTGACTACCGAGAAGGCACTGCCAAGGCTAGGGACCACTCCACAGGTTGCTCGAGCATCCGCCAGCAGTGCAACTGGTTTCACCAAGGGTGAGCAATCAGGCAATCGAGAAAAAGGCAGCAGGGACCCATACTGTGGCACAGTAAATAAAGCTGCCACCTGTAAAGCCAGCATCCCATGAGACTGCCAGTTTGCATCATGGCTGTCTAATCTAGCTGCCTGCTAATGGTCTGGGAAAAAGCAGAACATGGCCCAAGTGTCTGATTCGTGCCAACTATGTGGGAGACCCAGATGAAGCTTTTGGTTTTAACCTGGCCCAGCCCTGGAGATTATGGCCATCTAGGAAGTGAACCAGCTCATGGAAGATCTGATTCGCTCTATCTGAACTCTTTCAAATAAGTCTTGAGAAAATAAAAAGTGGGCCTGATGCAGTAGCCTAGCGGCTAAAGTCCTTGCCTTGTGTGTGCCAGGACCCCTTATGGGTACCGGTTCATGCGTTGGCTGCTCCACTTCTCTTCCAGCTCCCTGCTTGAGGCCTGGGAAAGCAGTCAAGGATGGCCCAAAGCCTTGGGACCCTACATCCATGTGGGAGACCTGGAAGAAGCTCCAGTATTTGGATCGGCTCAGCTCCAGCTGTTGCAGCCACTTAGGCAGTGAATCAACTGACAGAATATCTTTGTCTCTCCTTCTCTTTGCAAATCTGCCTTTCCAATAAAAATTAAAGTCTTTAAAAACAAAAATAAGAAGTGCAATGCCTCTTATCACTTAGCCTCATGGGCCAGTCACACATCCTAACTTACTGGCATTTGCACAACTTGTGCATGACAGGAGGGGAGAGCCACTGAGCACTGCCCTGGAGGGGAGCACAGCCAGCAACTGTACCAACTCCTCGTGCCTTCACCGTGACAGTTTCCGCCCCTTCAACTGCTCTCTCCCCAGATGTTCATACAGTCATAGCCTTGATCTTCCTGGCCCACTGTTTAAGACTGCACCAGTCACTTCCATTTCACATCTCACTTCTTCCGAGCATCTGTTACCACTCCCACACAAATTCTTATTTATCTCCCTCTAGTGTGTAAGCTTCATGTGGGTAGAACTTTTCCATTTCTTCTCATTAGTATGTCTCTAGCACCTGGAATGGTACCACTCATGTGAGAGAGGATCAACAGATGCCTGTCAGATGAGCAGTCAGGAACCAGCACCATGAGGCTATGTTCCATGTACCTTGTTAAACGTAACCAGAAACCTGAGTATGGACAGTCGTCCTGGCAAGCACATACTTCCTTTTCAACTTGCAACGACAACTAAGGAAGAGGAAAGCTAGAAGCAAGATTTCTTAACAACTCTAACTTTAAAAATTATCTTCAAAAATTCTAAATTCTGAAATGTTTAACAATACACAGGTGTTATCAAACAGGTTTTAATCAGATGAGTAAGGAAAAAATTATTCAAATTAAATGAGCTATTAAATTTCCAAATGACTTCTATAGGTTTTAAGTTAGATATTAATATTTTCATTAAATATCATGTTCATTAAAAAATAAGATTCAAAGTTTTAAGATTTCCAAATAAACAGTAATATGCAAGCATTTTTAGTTACACTATTTTGTTTAAATGTTTTCTATACATACTCGACAGCAGTCCAGCCCACCACAACCATTCTTTAAGATATGCATGGCCACCTTGACCTGTGAATAAAAAAAGTTTTCTTAGAAAGACTATCAGACTTTATATTAATTATGGCAATTATTGATAATATCAAACTTTTAAAAATATCTAATTTGTGGGGCTGGCATTGTGGTATAGTGGATAAAGCTACTGCCTAAAGCTCTGACATCCCACTGAAGCACCAGTTCAAGTCCCAGCTGCTCCACTTCAGATCCAGCTCTCTGCTAATACACTTGAGAAAGCAGTGAAGCATGGCTTACATCTTTGGACCCCAGTTACCATGCTGGAGACCTGGAAAACTCGCCTGGCTCCTGGCTTCAGACTTGCACAGCTCCAGCTGGTGCAGCCATTTGGAGAGTGAATCAGAGGAAAGAACATTTCCCTCTGTAACTCCTTCAAATAAAAAAATAAATCTTTAAAATGAAAAACTCAGGGACCAGCGCAATGGCTCAACTGGCTACTCCTCTCCCTTCAAGCACTAGGATCTCATATGGGTGCTAGCTTGTGTCCTGGCTGCTCCATATCCTTTTTTTTTTTTTAAGATTTGTTTTTTTGGGCCCAGCGTGATGGCACAGTAGTTAAGTCCTCGCCTTGCACGCCCGGGATCCCATATGGGCGCCGGTTCTAATCCTGGCAGCCCCACTTCCCATCCAGCTCTCTGCCTGTGGCCTGGGAAAGCAGTCGAGGACAGCCCAAAGCTTTGGGACCCTGCACCCGCGTGGGAGACCCAGAAGAGGCTCCTGGCTTCGGATCAGCATAGCATCAGCCGTTGTGCTCACTTGGGGAGTGAATCATCGGACGGAAGATCTTCCTCTCTGTCTCTCCTCTCTGTATATCCACCTTTCCAATAAAAATAAAATAAATCTTAAAAAAAATTGTTTTTTTAATTGTACAGTCAAGATACACAGAAACACAGAGAGGAGACAGAGGAAGATTTGTCCGATGATTCACACCCCAAATCACCACAACGGCTGGAACTACGATGATCCCAAGCCAGGAACCAGGAGCTTCTCCCAGGTCTCCCAAGTGGATGCAGGGTTCCAAGCCTTTGGGTGGTCCTCGACTGCTTTCCCAGTCCATAAAGCAGGGCTGCTGGGATTAGAACTGGCACCCACATGAGAACCCAGCACATGCAAGGTGAAGACTTTAGCCACTAGGCCACCGCACCAGTCTGGCTACCCCACTTCCAATCCAGCTCCTTGCTTTTAGCCAGGTAAAGCAGTGGAGGATGGCCTAAAGCCTTGGCACCTGGCATGGGAGGGCCAGAAGAAGCTCCTTGCTACGAACTGGCTCAACTGTGGCTGTTGCAGCAACCTGGGGAATGAACCAACATGTAAAAGATCTCTGTCTCCTCTCTGTGGATCTGCCTTTCCAACAAAAATGAACAAATCTTTAAAAATAAAAATACTACCTCAGAAAGGGGGGCAGGTGTGAATATCATGAGAATGTTTAAAAATGTGTGGCTCAGTAGTACACTGATAGATAGAACTAAATCAACCCTTATATTCAACTCATACTTCATTGATTTTGTGGATTCAGCTTCAGTAAACCAAGTAGGAAAACAAATCATTAAGTAGCCCATTTTTTAAAATTTTTATTTAAAATTTTGAATTTTATGGTCCAATTCTGTATCATCTGGGATTCTCCTCCCCCCCAATTCCCATCAACCAGCCTACTTTCCCCAAGTAGACCAATTCCAAAGACACTGATCAATCTGACTGTGCCTCACAGGTGTAGGAGCCTATGAGGTAGCATCTGCTGTGGTCCTTTCTCACCAAACACCAACATACATCCTTTTGCCATCGATTTCCTTTTGATCAAAAAAACCCAAAGTGAATAAACGCTTTACAAACACGTCCATCTCACGTTACAGTACCTGTCTCAGGACCAAGGATGAGGGACAGGGGCAGCAAACAGGAGGATTCAATGCTTTCTCCTGTGTGGACTAAATCCCAATAGAGGATACTGTTTCACGTTAGTTAGTTACAAATTCAGTTTGGCTACAGAATTGGCAGAAGAAACAAAAACTGCCATTTTTGTTGTCACGGCAGGTCCACTTGAAGTCTAGTCAGGTGAACAACTGCTGTAGACAAAGACGGGGATGTAACGGTAAAACCACATCATCCTGGGGTTATTACGAACACCCAGGGGAGAAATCACCCTGCGGCTCAGTCCACACTAAGCATCCCCCAGATCCTGGGACCTGATGGCAGGTTTTGGGGAAATAATCCACATCACCTGGAGTTCACTGCCAGGGCTGCTCTTCACGCCAACAGCCACGCCCTTCCTTTCCTGCCAGTTTCAGATCAGAGAAAAGGTCTATGGTGAAAGACCTCAGTTTTAGTAAGATTCTAATTCATGAATCCTTATTATTCTTCGCTGGATAAGCATAGAAACTTCAAGGAAAGGCTGTATGTTAATTTGGCATCAGCTCTTATTACAACTTCTCTAACTGCAGGAATGGGAACAGTTCACTGTTTATCATTACAAAACTGAAATTAGATTTTCTATTACACTTACAACTCTTGGAAGCTTGCAGGTTTCAGTATTCACTGAGAGGGAAGATGTGGCTGTCTAAGGTGCAGAACCTAAGCGCAGCCTCTGCCATTTCAGTCACACAAGAAACAACCTACCTGCTCTCATGGAGCCTTTTCTGGCAAGTCGCAGAAGCCCTTTTTTTTTCAAAATGAAACTCCCTCCAATGAAAATACTGGAGCTCACAGCCAATCCCAGACCAATATAAAAGTCATATTTTCCACGGCCTTGGTTCATTTCGTTTGTTACTTAAGGAATTCCTATGAATTACATTGATCACAGAGAGAGGAAACTGCTGGTACTGGAGGCAGGGCGACAGTCTTTAGATCTGTGAAACAGAAAAGAATTGAGATTTTCCATGAAATGATCGTAATATCCTGATACTATTCCAAATTTTTCATTTCCGTTCTCCAAATGAAAAAAAATATTACTACTTATTGATAATATATCCCATAATTAAAATTTAGCACCAATCTAATATTTTTCTAAGAAATGGGATCATGATCTAAAATAACTTTAAATACATCTTACTAATTCCAGTTTTTTTCTAAAAATACAATCTTTGCCAATATAAAATAAAGCTGATATGAAAGTAAATCCTACAAAATGGTTTTATAAATGCATTCTCTTAACTTACAGAAACTCAAAATTTTCCCACAGGTTTTTATTTTTATTTCTCAATTTGTTTTTAATTATCTACTTTTTATTTCAGTGCCAGATCTTTCTTATGCAAAAAGGAGAGACAGAGAGATACCTCCCATCCATTGATTCACTCCTCAAATGGCCCAATGGCCAGAGCTGAGCTGCTGCGAAGCTGGGAGCCAAGAGTTCCTCTGGAGTTTCCCACATGGAAGCAGGAGACCCCCAGCCATCCTGCACTGCTTTCCCAGGCCAGAAACAAAGAGCTGGATTGAAATTGGAGAGGTTGGGACCAAAACCAGTTCCACATAGAATGCTGGTGCCATAGAGGATTAGTCTGATGTGCTACGGTACAAGCACCTTAATCTATTTCTGTGTGACTTTGCTTTTCAAATAAAATAAATCGTTTTTTTTAAATGTGTAAATAGGGCCCAGCACGAAAGCACAGTGGTTAAATCCTCGCCTTACACACACCAGGATCCCATACGGGCACCAGTTCTAATCCCAGCTGCCCCACTTCCCATCCAGCGCCCTGCCTGCGGCCTGGGAAAGCAGTGGAGCACTGCCCAAAGGTTTGGGACTCTGCACCGGCGTTGAAGACTCAGAAAAAGCTCCTGGCTTCTGGCTTCAGACTGGCTCAGTACCAGCTGTTGTGGCCACTCGGGGAATGAATCATCCGATGAAGATCTTCTTCTCAGTCTCTCCTCCTTTCTGTATATCTGCCTTTCCAATAAAAAATAAATAAATCTTTCAAAAAATGTGTAAACACATCCACAAAGTCTATGGTGACTTATTTAGCCTACTTGCAGATGGGTTGAGAAAAAGCCGATTTCACGCCATTTTCTTAGTGGAGAAGGGCAATCCTAGAGGAGAAATGTCTGCCAGGGTGCAGAATGGTAGACGGGAGGGAAGCACAACCCCTAAGAAAGCTGAGGCCAGGAAAACAGAGGCTTAGCAAAGACTACACACAGAGTTTCAAGTGGTCATCTCCTAAGTTCTGCTGACAATGAAACTAAAGTGAAGAGGAGAAAAGAGGGGCTGGTGCTGTGTTAAGGCTGACTAAATCCCTGCCTATGGCACCGGCATTCCATAGGGGCAACAGTTCGAGTCCCAGGTGCTCTACTTCGCATATGGCTTTCTGCTAGTAATCCTGGGAAAGCAGCAGGAGATGGTCTGAGTGATTAGGCCCCTGTACCCATGTGGGAGACCCAGAGGAAACTCCTGGCTCCTGGCATTGCACAGGACCAGCTCTGGCCACCGCAAGCTTCGGGGCAGCAAATCAGCTGTTCAGGATTTCTCTCCTGGTCTCTCCTTTTCTAACTGTAGCATTCAAATAAATACATCTTAAAAAAAAATACTCAGTCTTAAATATTAAAAAAAGCAAGCAAGCAAGCAGAGGGGAACATAACTGCATCACCAAGGTGCACGCCTGACTACAACTACCAGTCCGCTGTCACAGGATGTCTCAGAATTATCAGACCCACAAGTTATCTCATGGCCTGTAATTTGATTCAGTCTGGATCCTTACAAATTTTTGATTCTGTGGTTTTTCAGCAAAGAATCAACTTTCTACCCACCTAGCCCCCAAATCAGTCTAATGTGTTCACTGAGAGTGCTATTTCTTTTTTAAAAGATTTATTTATTTACTTTTTTTATTGCAAAGTCTGATATACAGAGAGAAGGACAGACAGAGCTTCCATCCAGTGATTCACTCTCCATGTGACTGCAACGGCCAGAGCTGTGCTGATCCGAAGCCAGGAGTCAGGAACCTCCTCCAGGTCTCCCAAGCAGGTGCAGGGTCCCAAGGCTTTGGGTTGTCCTTGACTGCTTTCCCAGGCCACAGGCAGGGAGCTGGATGGGAGGTGGAGCTGCTGGGATTAGAACTGGTGCCTATATGTGATCCCAGCGTGTTCAAGGTGAGAACTTTAGCCGCTAGGCCACTGTGCCACACCCAGTGCTATTTATTTTATATCTTCTGTGTGTGGTAAGCATATGCTAAGCATTTTGGATAAAATGGTGATAGCTTTTAGTCTCCAATAGGGTAACAAGTAAACAGTAAAATAAGAGGTAATCATGTACTGTAATAATTGTAAATAATATTAAAACTATTATTACAACACCAATATTTTAAACTGCCTATTGAGGCACAGTACTGTTCCTACACATTTCTATGAGAAGAATTCCTTTTCCACTGACTTGGGATTTTGCCATCAAGCTGGTTTTGGCCAGTGGGAGGTGGGTGGTACTAAGAGAGCCAGTTCTGAGTCTAGACCAAAAGGCAAACTTAAATTTATGAAGTTTTCTAGAATTCAGGCAATTGGCTTTTTTTGTTCACTTACGGAACTTTACCAATGTGGTGTTTATGAGAGGGAGAAGAACGAACAGAGGCATAAAATTTACAAACCTTGAGCCACTAATGAAGGAAATGACTTTATCCCCCTTCTGGCTCAGTCGAGGACATGCGCAGAAGGTCCTGAAAGGGCTGAGCAGCTGTGCAGCTGTGCTCACACCTGGCAACGCTCTGCTCCCGCCCTCTGCAGGTCAGTCACAGCCGGGAGAGCCTGCAGTGAAGACGGCAGGGCCAGGCATGAAGACAGCGACACCAGAAACAGGCTACATTCACCTCAACCAGGTTCCCAGACAAACCCGTAACCTGCCCACCTCTCAGGCACTGACCGAAACAGCCCAGCAGGTCACCGGCTTCAAGGTGAGCAACTGGTCCACAGACACACTAAGGCTCGACAGTGATCAAGGTGCTTGTCCTCAAGGACCCCACAACCACCTGGCATTCTAAACCACCTGCTAAAGCCTTAAGCCTCCCGGCCAACAGTCTCAAATATGTCCAGCTTATTCTCTAAATGTCAAAGAAATTTAATTTCGACAACTGATTAGTACATTTAAAAAAAAAGATTTATTTATTTTTATTGGAACTTCAGATAGACAGGAAGAGACAGAGGAAGATCTTCTGTCCGATGATACACTCCCTAACTGGCCACAATGGCTATAGCTCAGCTATTCCTGAAGCCAGGAACCAAGAGCTTCTTCTGGTCTCCCAAGGGAGTGCAGGGTCCCAAGGCTTTGGGCCATCCTCGACTGTTTTCCTAGGCCACAAGCAGGGAGCTGGATGGGAAGTGGGGCTACTGGGACTAGAACTGGCGCCCATATGGGATCCTGGCATGTGCAAGGACCTTAGCCACTAGGCTACCATGCCAGGCCCCTGATTTATACTTGAATATAAATGTTCATTAACACAACATATCCCAAATGAAATACAAAATTGTTTCACCACCTTTTGTAATGTAAATATAAAGAACAGGACAATGGGGTTGGCACTTTGGCTTATCAGGCTAATCGTCCACCTCCAACCACTTGCGCCACCGCGCCAGGCCCAATCGTCCACCTCCAAATGCCTGCATCCCGTATGGGTACCAGTTCATGTCCCAGCGACTCCAGTTTGCATCCCCATGCAGCTTCCTGCTTCTGGCTGAGGAAAGCAGTTGAGGATGACCCAAAGCCTTGGGACCCTGAACCCACATGGGAGACCTGGATCAAGCTCCTGTCTTCAGATCAGCTCAGTTCCAGTCATTGCAGCCTTTTGGGGAGTGAATCAGCACATGGAATATCAATCTTTCGGTCTCTCCTCCTCTCTGTAAAATCTGCCTTTCCAATAAAAATAATCTAACAACTATTTGGAAGAACTATAGTGATCTTGGTTTGCAAACTGACCAACAGTATATAACACAATTACACAAGTTACCAAACTTAAAAATCTACATAAAGGGCCAATCCAATGGCTCAGTGGCTGAATCCTCACTTTGCACCCACCAAGGCCCTATGCAGGCGCCAGCCTGTGTTCCAGCTGCTTTACTTCCCCTCTTGCTTGTGGCCTGGGTCGGCCCAAAGCTTGGGACCCTGCACCCACATGGGAGACCTGGAAGAGCCTCCTGGCTCCAGGCTTCAGATTGACTCAACTCCAGCCACTGTGCATACTTGAGGAATGAACCAGCAGATGGAAATTTTTTGTCTCTGCTTCTCTCAGTAAATGTGCCTTTCCAATAAAAACAAATCTTTAAAAAATTCTGAATACAATACATATGCAGCTTTAAACTTGTTACAACACTTCTGACATCTTCATTTCACAAAAGCTTGGACTGACACCTGGCAAGGGCCTGTGACGATGAAACAAGCAGAGACGACACACAGCCTGTAGCTATGAAAACAGGACCTACAATCCAGGTCTCCCAACCCTGAGCTTCCTGCTCTCCCACTGCAGTCTCCTCCCTGTCCGGGGCGAGGGAACAGAGCCAGAGGCATCTCAAAGCGGCAGACCCTCAGTGTAGGCAGACCCTCAGTGTAGGTCACCGTCTTCTCTGCCCAATCTGCTCCTCGCTGGGCTGCTGACCATGGCTTCAGCACCCAAAGCAGACCCAGGAACCAACAGTGAAAGGTGGACTCTGCCTTGGAAGTTCAGCTGTGTACCCACTCTGACCAATCACCCGAGCCCCACTGGGCCTTCCAGGCCCCACTCATGCTTACAGCCATCTTGCCGTTACACTGCTCTGCCAGTCTTACTCTGCTGCCTACACTTACTGATCAATAAAACACTCAAATGCTGTAACCCACTAAGACTTTTCATTAATTCCAAAACTACCTTTGAAACATTATTTCCCAATAGTTCTGTATCTCACAAGCCTTGTTTTCTCTCCAGGGTCAACATGCTGCATTCCCCAATCCTTGTTTACACTGCCCCTTTCACACTGCAACGAGCCAGTCCACAAGCACTCCAGCAAGGAAGCTCTGCGTGAACTCCACAAGCCACGGGCATCCCCTTTCTGAATTCTCCAGCTTTTAACCTACGCTCAAACGCGCATTTCAAGCCTGCATTATGTTTCCTTATGTCATTCTTATCACCTTCACCTTGGCTTCCTGCAAACAGGTGGAATGCTTACTTCATTTACTCAACAAAGCTACAGAGTCAATACTGCACTCTAGGCCCCGGGCAGAGCACGTGCAGTTTACCTTAAGCTGGCAGGAGGGCGAAACAACAAATAAGCACAATGCATTACAGTCATAAATGCTACGGCGAAAACCAAGGTACATTAAGAGGACTGCAAGCCAGGAGCTAAACTGAGCAAAAGCTTGAAAAGGTGAGAAAACACCGAGACACACTCTGAGGCAGGAGCGTATCTGCTCATGCCTTTCCTGGTCAACCCTGAGTGAAATATGGGATGTCACTATCGCCTTAAGAAAGGGAGAGTCAGGCCACACCCGACCCAAAGGGACACACAAAAATCCAAAAGACATCAGACTGGCAATCCATTTAATTACCAGCCCATAATTAACTTTCTTCTAGAACTTTACATAGCTGCTCTATTTCAAGTGTGTTTACATTAAAAAAAAAAGGGGGGGGGGGTTCAAAGAAAAAAAGCTGAGCATATTCTAGTCTGAGTTCTACAGTAGAGTTCCCCACCCGCCCCTTTTTAAATTTGAAAGTCAGAATTGCATAGAGACAGAGAGAATGTCTTTCACTTGCTGGTTCACTCTCCAAGTGGCCACCTCAGTCACAGCCGTGCTGGCACTAAGGAGCCAGGAGATTCTTCTGGGTCTCCCACATGGGTGCAGGGACCCACTACTTTCCCGGACCACAGGCAGGGAACTGGATGGGAAGTGGAGCAGCCAGACACAAACCAGCACCCACATGGGATCCCAGCACCACAGGCTGATAATTACTGTGCTGTCACTTCACCAGCCCCAATTTTCTTTTCCTTATTAAGATTTACCTTATTTGTGCTCACTTCGACAGCACATATACTAAAATTGGAAAGATTTACCTTATATGAGAGGCAGAGGCTACAAAGAGAGACAGAAGTCTACCATTTGCTGACTTACTCCCACAGGTGGCCACAGCAGGACATGGTCAGGCCAAAGCCAGAAGCCCCTTCCAGTTGGGGAAAGGGGCTCAGAGGACTTGCCCCCAGGCTCATTAGCAGAAAATGGATAGTAAACCAGTTGGACTCAATCAGCATCCATACGGGCTGCAACAGTTCAATCCTCTTAACCAGAGGCAGGCCCTTCATTTTATTTGAAAGGAGCAAATGGAAGAGGCAGACTTGAATTTGCTAGTTTACTCTTCACATGCCTGCAAGAGCCAGTGTGGGCCAGATGCAAGCCCTAGCCCAGGACCTCCACCTGGGCATCCTGACCTCCACCTGGGCGTCCTGACCTCCACCTGGGCGTCCTGACCTCTGCCTGGGCGTCCTGCGCCAGCACCACCATGTGCTGCCTTTCTGGCTTGCTCGGCAGCAGGAAGCCAGGGAGACCCTAACTGGCACACTGCTACGGAATGCGGGCATCCCAAGCAGCGTGCGCCCGGCCTTTGCTTATAGTCACTTGTACTGTGCTTACTTGAACTTAGTAGTACGCTATGGATATACAGACAGTAAAATGGTCACACAGTGAAGCAAATGAACGTACCCACCATCTCAGTTCCCTGTGACAGCTTCATAAAGATCTCTAACACGCGACTAACCATAACCCTCACCCTGCACGTGGGAGCCGCAGACCTGTTCATCCTACCTTATCTATTTTGTATCTCCTTCCTGCTGGTAACTATTTTATATTCTCTACAGAGAAGCCTATCCTTCTATAAAAAGCACAAAATACACCCATCAAATACAGCAGTTTTAATGAAATGTACTGTAGCTTCAGACATTTTAAATACAAGTGGACCATGTTTCTACGACAGGAATAACCCGAAGACAAATGAAGTTACTCTTTCTTCCCTCCTCTCCGGGCTCCCGTTCACTAGGCACCTTTGCGCCAGTTTACAATACGGAAGCAGCAGCAGCAGATACATTCATTTGTCACCGAACAAAGGGCCAGTCACACGCAGAGGAATGAACAGTGGACTTTGCATCCACACAGGTCTGCCCACAGCACATGCAAACTTCAGAAACTTTTAAGTCTTTATCTTCGCTTAATTTCCACTGCTTATACACTCAAAGTTGTGCAACCTCTCACGTCACTGCTTTTTAAAAGCACTACTTAGAAACATTCCAGAACCTACATCTCCAATCCTCACGTGATACGTTAATTACAAATTAAAGTTTTCACTTACATGGAAGGTTTAATAGGCTCTCTCTTATGAGAAAAGGGCTGGAAGAGGCTAGAGATGATTTATGTACTCTCATTTCCTTGTAATTGCTACCCTGTATTCCCATTTACAATCTTAAACCCTGGCAGAGAGGTTCCAGCCTGGAAAGACAGAAGCAAAGGGACGGAACAAGGTTACTAAGTACTAAGTACTCATTTAACCAACTCAAGACACACTCGATGGGGTGGAACACACCACTTCCACACGCAACTTACAGGAACCCAATTTCTCTAGTTCCCATTTCCGCTTATTACTTTTTTTTTTTTTCTTAAGTAACTAACTGGGCACATAGGATTTCGGGGGGTGGGGGGGGAACTTTGGAGGTAGCTTTATTCAACGAGTTGACAAGGCAGAAAAGCAAAAGCAGCAATGGCACAAGATTAAACATACTTTCAGGTGTGCCGAGGGGGAGAGGGTAGGGATATCTGTAAATGAAGGGAGTGGAAACAGCCTTGTACAATACGCCTCGGGAGGTGGAAAGCTTCCTCCGCAGCAGCTCATCCATCTCCAACACTCACTCAAGACCCAATTATTTTAATGAGCTTTCATGATCACGCGCGGGAGGCCACCTCGCCAGGTGTCCGCGCGGGACACCGCGAGCTGCCTGCCTGCCCAGGACCAGGAAAAAAAAAACCCGCTTTCCACCTCAGAACGCACGCAAAGTGGTCCCCCCCAAAAAGGGCCCTTCCGAGACCCCAACACGAAAGTCAACCCCTGCGCGCTGGCCTGAAAGGAACAAGCGCTGACCTCACCCCACAGTCGCCCGGTCGGCCGCGCGCGTCCCCCTCGGTGACCTGGCCCCGGACACCGCGCGTCACACACCCACACAGGCCGCACCGGCCTCTCCCTCCTGCCCTCGCGCCGCCACCACCTTCGTCGCCGTCCAGGGGGAGGTGCGAGCATCCGGAGGTGCAGCCGTGCGCGCCGCCTCCTCCATGGGGAGCGCCGAGGGACACCTGCCCCAGCCGACCTACGGCCCCGCCGCTGCAGGGACCGAGGGTCGCGGCCGCCGAGAGGACCCTGGGCGCGGCCGAGTGACGCAGGAAGCCGCGCACGCGCAGGCCTCGCGGCCCAGGCCCCGCCTCCGGCTCCTTCTCCCGCCGGAGCTTGGGGCGCTGTCGGCTTCAGAGCGTGGGCAGGTTTCACGGTGCCGATAGCCCTTCGAGCAGTCAGGACAAAGTCCCATGCAGGGCGTACATAATTGTCACGAGATCCGCAGGAAAACCCAGTACTGGGGCTGAATTCCCCCCGGACTGCCCAGCGTGGTTTCCTGGCTCCCCCATAGGAAGTGTGGCGTGCTGGCCTTGGGTTCTGTCCACAAGCCCCTCCCCGGTGTGGTTCGGTGCGGATCAGCAGATTCTGATGTGAAAAGCTCTTCAGCCACTGTGGGCTAGGTATCGGGTCTCAGAACTGCTTCCCACAACTTGCTTCTCGTACTTGCTTGACGTTGCCAGATGTGGAACTGCTTTGAGGACTGCACGGAAGCCTTGAGTGATGTAACAGCCAGGTGACAAGTGGCAATCGTCCACTGATCCGTGGCCCACACAACTTGCAGTGACTCCAAACCCTGTGGATCTGCATTGACCTTGAGGCAACTTTGGCCAAGAAAATCATGTGGTACGCTCCAGCCTGTGTCATGATGAAGAGAAACCTGGAGTAGCTGCTAAGGGAGACAGCCATGAGGGGTCAGGCCAAGCTTAGCTGACCTGCTAACTGCCCCATAATTGAGACCAGGGATTGCCCCACTGACCCACAGACATAGGAAGAATACACGATTGCTGTGTTAAGCAATGTTTGGGGGCAGATGGACATGTAGCAATCACTAAAATAGAAATACCGACAGATGCTTCTAGAAGTAGATGAGTGTACTGGAAGCAGTGGCTGATTCACATGAACCTGAATGCTTAGATGATGAACTTAATGAATAGATTTACTTGTCTTTTTGCATGATCCCAGCCGGAGCTTCTGATCATCCTTCATCATTGTAACTCAGAACTCAGTCTCATTCTTTATTTGGCTGTTTAATTTGACATTGTCACATTGTACAGCTCTGTGTTGGAAGTATGTGTACACAGGACTTCAAAGAATTTGTGGATAACCTGGACTAAAAGCATGTTTATTTTACTGCAAAAAAAATTTTTTTATCTATGAATACAAGGGAGTTTTCCAAATTTCACTGAAAATGAATATTGCAAAAAATGCTGGGACTTCAAAATAATTTCTACTGAAACAAGCGAGTTTAATTTTGCTTTTCTGTGAACTTTTTGACATGCGTTCACACAGTTTACTAATAAGATGCGGGGCCCTTTTTTCTTTCCTTTATTTTATTTTTTAAATTCTTTTAATTTGATTATCTTTACATAGTTGATTAGGGCACAAGGGGTCAAAGGCTACAAGAAAGTGGGTAACACCATTGTTTCCACATTAATATATATTTTTTCTGTATCTGGGTTAAGGGAAGAGATAAAGGGGAAAACTCCACCCATCCGCCCACCCATCCCAGATCCCCAACATGGGGCATGCTCCAAGGGTCCTGTTCATGCAATTTTGATAGTTCAACAGTTCTGAATTGCTGCCAATCTCGCAGTTCCAATCACACTGAAATCTCTTCAGAACCCACTGGCTGACATAGTCTCTTCATGGTTGCAGTTCTGAGATCAGCAGTTCAGTTGGAAGGATCCTCAGAGAAATTTCATCTGAGGTGATTCCAGACCTAATTCTTGTGTGTGCCTTCCAGTACAGGGTCCAGCACAGTCCATCACCCCAATCAGCTTATGCACATGCTGGTGGTTGCATTTGCTCGGTCATTTCTGTTTCCAGCCCTGTCTTCCACATGAACCAATGGGTGTTGCAGTCCAGCCCAATCCTGCCCACTTTATACTCGGCCCTCATGCAAACCAGTGAGAGCTGCAGCCTTTTGGGGTGACTCCACATAACGCCCACCAGGCCTGCCCCTAACCTGGTTGCCATGCATGCCAGTATGTACCGCAGATGTGTTCAGTCTGTCCCACATTCCATTTAACTCTTATACATGTCAATGGGCATTGAAGCCTAGTTCAACCCAACAATGCAGGGTCCTTTAAAAGCCCAGATAATTTCCCAGGCTCTTGCACAATGTTGAGCAGTGGTCATGAGATATTTTTAAATGTTTAAAACTAATCCCATCTATGCTTCTGGTGGAATTGTAAAATGGTACACCTCCCTTGGAAAACATGTGAATAGTCTCTTTAAACACTGACCTATAACCCACCAGGTCTATAGCTATTTACTCAAGAAATGAAAATGTTTGTTTGTGCAGACTTGTAAATGAACATCCCATAGCAATTTACTTGTGATAGATCAAAAGCTGGAAACAACCCAGCAGTCCATCATCTGGTGAGTAATAAACAAAATGGCATATCCACTTAATAAATAATACAACATTGGAAACCAATAAAAAAAAAGAATGGACTAAAATAATTTCTAGCCTCTTAGGCCGATGTTTTCTACAACATTGTGGATATCTAGGCTATTGATTTCTACAAGAAATAGGAAAACAAATCTTAGGAATTGTGGTCGGTTAGAACCTAACACTATACAAAAAACTTCAAGCAAAGGGAACAAGAGCCAACAAGTGTTCAGCTAGAAATTATTTTATTTTTAAAACACATACAGATTAATAAATATTGGAAAACTTAATAAATAGCCTTTTTTATTTACATAAGGCATTTACAACATGCTATGACTACTTCTAGAAAGCAAAAGATCAGCAAGTCTTAGCCATTGATAAACATGTGTATGTATGCTAATTGGAAGCTTCCCTGATACATTTCCATGAAAAACTTTTATGCAACCCATCAGCAGATAGTTTTTCTCTTCCTCTTTCTCCTTCTATCATGATTATATTTCATTTTACGACACAAAAATGGTTATCCTTTAAAATGGTGAACACGCTCTGGAATGCTACTGAAAAATAATACCCTTATAAACTTTCAAAAATGCAAGACAATAAGGATGGAGAAATTATTGACACTCTGACAAATAAGACAACTACTGTGAATTTTTCAGTGGACCCTTTGGCACTAGTGGTTTGGGAGCTCTGACATTCACCTGTTATAGGAATTCATCGTCAAGGCTGAGCTGCATGGAAGCCAGAAGCTTCACATTCATTACAAATTCAGTGGATCAGAATCAAGTTGTTGCAGAGGTCATTAAATGTGCAGATCACAGACCAAGCAGAACCTCAGACAAGCTCATCACACCATCAAAATGTGATCTGCTAGTGCAGCTTATTAAAAGTCTCTAAATGCCATATTTTACAACAGAATACATAAAATACCTCCTTAAAAAAAAAAAAGAAAATTAAAGCTTCACGGATTCATGCATGCTATACATCCAGTGCTTCCATTACTTCTGTGGGGCCCAAAGCTGGGCATTCCACAGTGCGATCCTGAGCGCAATCCACAGCAGTTAACATGAGCCATGATACCACCACGTCCCTTCCAGAGCAGCCTAGAGCCTGGTGCTCTCACTGCAGGCCACCAGGACACTGGAAACAGAACAACTGGAAAACCAACTCACCCCTTCAGAGGTAGAAAACCGAGGCACAGAAAGGTTGAGTAACACCTACATTTGCACAATTGAGGGACATTTAGGGAAAAAAAGAAGAAGAAATAGACCCCTCTGTCTGGCTTATGATCTGGGCCCTAGACTCTGCCGTTTAATTGCTTTGGGTACATTTGATATAGATGTTTTATTTACATGATCATCATCTTATTGAACATCAGCTTTTTATTAGACAACATTTTTGATGTAGCAAAGTTACAGTTTCTTAAAGTATAGTTCATTTGTTACATCTCATAGCATTGAGAAATGTGTATGGAAATGTGTGAGCACTGATATTCAGCCAAATTCCCATTCCTGATCCTGTAATTCTGAATCTTTTCAAGTATACAACAGAGGTATAAGAATATGGCCAGGTGTGGAAAACCACCTATCTGCTAAAGGACAGATCTTTAAAGTTCATTACTTAGCACAATTGTGAGGTGGAAATGAGGAATACAAAAAAATTGAGGTATTTTATAGGATGAACTATCCTGTGGCATGACTGGTGTGCAAATTGGTCTTTTCTCTTTCCCACTCAACAGAATCTAGCTATGAATATGAGTAAAACATACAACAAATGAACATGGTCATGTCCATGGAAGAAGGGTCAGTTCTAAGTTCTCCATGATACCTGCTTGGTCCCTGAGAAGACAGAACATCAAGATTACATCCAACCCTGCTTGGTGGGTGAACAGATGCATTGAAAGGGACAGGTGCTTCTAAGGCGTAGAGTCACAGGCAGACCTACCACTGAACTGGCTCTTCTGAATTTCCTGCATCATCACAGCAAGTCTAAGCAGGATCTAGAGGGCATCAGTGACGAGCAAAGGATGCAGGTGGATGAGCCAACAGAGCATTCTCTCCATCCTACTAGATTAGTTCAGCAGCTTGGAAAAGAGGTATCATCTCCCAAGAAGGGCTGTGCAGCAGCGAAGTGCACTGTGACACCAACACCTGCCATGCACTAAACATGTGTCCATACCTGGGAGACACTAATATCTCAGTGTTCTCCAGAAGTCTAGGAACTGGCGGCCAGCAGTCAGGCACAGTATTTACCAAGAGCCGAGCTCTACAGAAAGATGAGCAGCGACTGTGCATTTGATTAGTGCTCTTTTCTATCCAATAGCAGACATGAAACCCAGGGAAGGGTGAAACCAACATACTGGGGTAAATCTGGGGAAGCACAACTGAGTGCAACAAAATGGTTTGAAAAGTAGGATTGAAAGAATGTTTCTTATCACTGAACAAAGAGCAGCAATGCCTTTTATTGTCATCCTGATAAGAAAAGACAAAGATGACAGTCTGAGCAAGGAAATCAGATTCTTTCCCAGTGCCTTTCCCTGCATTTGAGAAGCAGCAGGCTGTCCTTTCTTTCCAGAACCATCTCCAGGGACTCAGGCATCCTGCAGACCAGCAGAACACTCCAGGGTGTTCTCTGTTCTGGGTTTGGGTCAGAATCCTTAATTGGTCCTACACTAGATCAAAGAACAGAACAAGAGGCAGTCTTTTAAGATGCAAAGATTGAAATGAGAAAAGGCTTGTCCAAGCAGAAAAGGTGAGAAATGGCCTATTTCAGCATCTATCAAGAATAAATCCTCAAATGGTGATCAAAAACCTTCAGTTTTAAAGGAGTTTGAAAACAAACAGGTATTTTTCCTTAATGTTATCAGAAATGACATTTGAAGAATCATGGTCTGATAGAATTGTTTCATATGTATTTACTTTTTAAAAGGTTAATAAAGAGATTTATCCCGATTTGAGGCCCTCCTCCCAAAGTTTCAATTCAGGGATTTTTTTATTTTTGACATTTCCCACATAAAATATAAAAATAAAATACAAAAATATGAATTGATAAATGAATACTATCAAGTCAGAATTTACAAATTCTATGTTAGCCTGAAAATCAGACAGCCAAATCACGAGCATGTCAATTACCTGGAGGCTAGCTGAAAAAACAATAAATGCTGTGTACACTTGGGGACAAAGCAGTGTGTTCTACCAAAGCCGTCCGCTGAACTGATGCAGATCTGGGAGATGCTACCTGTTCTAGCACCTGCCATCCTTAAGACGAGTAAAGCCAATAACGTTTCAGAAGTTTGTTTCCATTTTAAACTCGTAGGGAAGATTATTCAGAACACATACCACGTCAGTATCTCCATAGTATAACTGTGAATTAAAATATACTAACATACACTAACGGGTGCATTTAAGCTTTACACGGAAGCTACAGCAAAATAATCATGATCACTTCCATCTGACACTTGAACTTTCTCACTGTTTGAACATCCTAAACCCCTTATCCAGGAAAACCACCTTAAGCCTACCAATGCACTGCTGCTGTTGCTATGTACTACTTTCAGAAGGTTCAGTAAATTCATTACAAACTCAGAAAGTTCAATAAATTAAGATCTGCATTTATAAAAAATACTCGTGATAAAAACACAAACATCAAGAACTGATAAAAAAGAATCATCCACTTTCAAAGCATGTATTAATTGTAAGTTACTGAAAAATCTAAAAATATTTTCTTAATTTTCTTACTACTCTTAATTCACAAACCACTACAATCTAGGATCATCATTTGATACTTCTGATTCAAACAGGTGTCTTACACTCTGTCACATTACAGTAGTCTTATTTTATATAATCTCTTTATTAAACACTTTAGACAACTATTCCTTGCATCCTTAATAACTGTTTAAAAAATGTTCTTTTTGCCTGGAGGAAAAAAATGTATTTTTCTTATTAACTTTCACTGGATATTATTAAATGTCATGTTCTACTTCATCTATTCTACTCAATCTCATCTTTGAACTTGGAATGGTTTCCTAATTAGAACACTGCACATTAAGTATGTCTCACAATGAAATCACTTCAAGCTTCCCTCCTCCTAAATACGCATGAAAGGTTTCTGTGGGCAAAAGAATGAGCTTTTTGAAGTGAATCCTGAAATGACTAATGTCAACTTGACCATCAGAAGGCTTCAGGAGAGGCAGCGTGAGGAACTGCAGGCTGCTCTGCCTTCTCAAACAATAATGAGATGGCCTGTTTTCATCTTTGCTAGAAAAATCTCTGGAAAAATTTTATGTGTTTCAATTTGTAGAACCTAGCCTATTGTCCCTTAACATGCTCCTATATTACAGCACATTCAATATATGCGTGGTGGAACTGTTAGTTCTTTGATTTAACAGCCTTTTTCTCAAGTTAAATAATTTATTACTTTTGTATGGCCACAAATGCTTGCTAAAAGAATGGTGTATATATTTGACGCTGGATCTCAATCACATAGATTGAATGCAAATAAAAATACCCCATGCTACTTAACCAATTGTGTGAGAGAACAGTAAATACATGCTAAATGGGTCAATTTGCCCTAATATATCTCGAGTCTTGACTATCTTCCAATGAATGTAGTATTATTTCTAACTGCTTTATATATTTATAATTGGAATATTGAAATAATAAGGTATAACCAAGGACGTTGCACTATCTTAGTCTAAAAGAATATACACAGAGTAATAGTCAAGGTAAGTGAATAACCCCAAGTGATAAAGGCACTGAAATTGATTTGAGCTATTGAGAAATCATCCTGCCAATGGAATGCTGCATTATCACCTTCTGTGTCATTTCTCTCTCTATTTGCTATCAAAATGTGCGGGACTGGGTCCAGGGGGATGGTCACCTCATCGGAGAAATAAAAACAATTCAGGGAACATACTTATTTGGATGATGTACCTGAATGTGACACATGCTTAATGCAAACCAACTCAACGACAGGCACATTTACTACACAGAGCCCGATTTCAAGATAATTTCTCCAATTTCTGAAGCAACTCCATAAGTATATCTGCTCTCCTACAATGAAACCAGAAAGAGCCCATGTTTTTATTTTGTTTAAATAATGTTAAAACGTTATAGAAGGGAAGAGTTGTCATGAAAGCTTCCAGGTTAATGGGAATGAAAATGCAATTCGTCTGATCAGAGAGAGAGATGATGCCCAGGCAACTGTCGGGCAGCTTCAGGCTGGGCTCCTGCCCTGGTGCCCAGCCAGACTCCCCATGGTCCTCCAGGCCACCTGTTAGTACACAGGCAAGTCGAACACCGGGGATTGAGGGTCTCTTCCACACGACATCCAATCAAGACCAGGAACCACCTCCAAGGCCTGCTCTTGAGCCCCTCAACCCCGCTGCATCCTAGTCTGTCTTCATATTGGATTTGTTCATCTCCCCCAGGTTGAAATTGAACTCTTTGAACACCTGAATGAGCACGATGCCCACAGAGACGGTCGTGAATCCACAGGCCATGCCCAGGAAGTCCACCAGGCCCACATGGCTCCACTCCCGGAAGAGGATGGCTGAAGCCAGCAGGACCAGGGTGGTGAACACCACGTAGTAGATGGCCCCGAACACTGAGGAGTCGAAGCACTCCAGCGCCTTGTTGATGTACCTGAACTGGATGATGATGCTGCAGCCCAGCACAGCCAGAAGCACCAGGCACAGGCACAGGGCTCTCTGACTGGACGGGTTGTTGTGCAAGATGTCTTGGGCTGCCAGCCCAATGCCCTTGGTGGAAGGCACAGTGAAACTCCCCAGGAGGGAGCAGATGCTGATGTAGACCATGATGTTGGTGGGCCCGTGGGCTGGCGCAATCCAGAAGATGAGCAGCAGGAGCATGAGCAGCACGATGCACAGGTATCCCACAAACACTGCAAGACAGAAGGACACGTTGACCCATGCAGTCCCCTAGCCAGCCCACCACCCAGAGGGGCAGAGGAGCCGAAGGGCTCCTGGAGGTCTGGGCTGATCCACCACACAACAATTAGTATTCTCATCATTGTTTTCAGCATTAAAACATTCACAGTGGGGCTAGCATTGTGGTGGAGTGGATAAAACTGCCACCTGCAATGCTGACATCCCATATGGATATCAGCAGAAAGATGTGCAGAAAATCAGACCTTCTCCATTTGCCTCACAACTTCGGACTTGTGACAAATACCATTATAAGCATTAGCACCTAGAACCTATTTTATGCATAAAATAAAGTAAGGTTTGCATGGATTTCATACACCTTATATTTTTCAGAAATGCCACATGTATGTAAGCTGAGGAAGAATTACTCTTTCTTTGATGGGAACTTGGTCAAAGGCTTTTCTCCACTTTGAAGGAGAAACGTCAAGGTGCCCAGTGCTCAGTGACTCCATCTGAGTCACATGACCAGGCAGCTGGATTGCAAGGGGAGGCGGGACTTATCCTCGGTACTCCAATGCAGGATGTGGGCGTCCCAAGGGGCAGCTTCATCTGTTGCACAACAATGCCTTTCCAAAACTAGTCTTTTCAGTCCATTTCCATGAACTTTCTGATGTCCCCGTAGAGTGCCCGAACTTCATTCCCAGATTACCAAGGGAGCACAGTCCCTGAGGGCTGGGAACCTCCTGGACATGCAAACCAACAGGCAGGCAACAGGAGCCCCAAACAGTACCCGTGAGAAAAAGGAACTGTGCAGTCTTGCACAGGCTCCAGGTGCAGGAAGCCCCAGAGCAGTGGTGCAGAATGTCCAGCCCGCAGCCTGAGTAAGGCCAGAGAAAGCATTGAGTGGGTCGTGCCTGGGCAACTGCGGGTGGGGCCTATTGAGAGCCAGTCAATCTAGGGCAGGCTAATTTTTAAGCGGTCACTATATATGGCCCACAAGTGATGTTATTAATATCCACATTGTCCTTGGCAGCAAAGGGTTTCCCGACCTCTGCTCTACAGGGCAATGGCCACCTGAGAGCCTGGCCTACGCAAGACGGAGCATGTGGGGACCCTGTCCAACCGTGGCTGGGATGCACTGAGCGGCTGCATCCTCACCAGGACAGCAGGCAGAGATGGATGGGGAAGGAGTCTGGGCTTCCAGTCACAGCAAGGGAGCTGTCACAGGCCGTGATGCTGGGAACAGACATAATCAGAGTGCAGGTGACAGGGGTTCCCGGGATCAAGATGCGTAAGGAGAGAGGCATGGGTGGACGTGGTCACCGGGGCATAAGGCAGTAGAGGCGGACACAGAAGAGGGACACGTTCTCAGCTTTGAGAAACGAGCAGCTCAGACAGAAAATTCCATATGCAGGAACACCTCGACATCTTCAAGCGATCAGGTGTAAAGTCCTGTGATTTACCCTTGGCTTTAGGATTCTGTATGCCAAGCGTTTCTCAGCCCTTTATGTGCCCCTAAAGAAACAAGGCACATCTTTCCCCCAGTTGGCCACACCATGAAGTGTAACTTCCGTTGCACTGTATAGCTGCTTGACCACTGTATCTATATCTGTATTTATACATCAGAAGACTATTTTTTTACCCCCAAGGACTAGTTTCAGCTTTCTGGGGTGACCACGGTCCCCACTGAGGATGTACGCTTTATGGTTTCTGTGCTTCGGATGCTTAACATCCGGCAAATGCTCATATGCGTAGGGCCGAGGAATTTTTTCTGCCTAGAGCCATCTACAATTATTAGGTTAAAAATTAGCCTGCTTTGGGCCCAGCGCGGTGGCGCAAGTGGTTAAGGTCCTCACCTTGCACGCCCGGGATCCCATATGGGCGCCGGTTCTATCCCCGCTTCCCATCCAGCTCCCTGCCTGTGGCCCGGGAAAGCAGTCCAGGACGGCCCAAGGCTTTGGGACCCTGCACCCGCGTGGGAGACCCGGAAAAGGCTCCTGGCTTCGGATCGGCATAGCATCAGCCATTGCGCTCACTTGGGGAGTGAATCATCGGACGGAAGATGTTCCTCTCTGTCTCTCCTCTCTCTGTATATCCGCCTTTCCAATAAAAAAAATAAAAATAAATCTTTAAAAAAAAAATTAGCCTGCTTTGGATTGTTCAGGTTTAGAGTCCTGCCTGTAGTTGTCTTGGCTGGGCCACACCAAATGATTTATCTGTTCCTCATCCCTGTATTAAAGGGCTGGAGGACAGGGTAGTGCCGCTCCGAGGGCACGGCCCCTTCCAAAGCTGGGCCTTGGCGTCCTCAGGCTACTGCAGCTGCTTCCAGAAGCCTGCGTGTGTCTCCTCTTCCCCTCTCCTTCCTGTCTCAGCACGTGACTGCGTGTGCTCTGCTACCTGTCATGGGGCCTTCAGACTTTCAGGCTTCAAAACCATGTGAGACTCTTTCCTTCTTAAGTGGGTTGTCTCAAATATTTGGTTGCTGTGACTAAAAGCAACCTGAGACAATGGTGTTCTCTCTCAAGAGACTACGCCCACTAATTTGCCCCATCCTCTCTGAACATCAGCTATCAAGCACCCTGGATTTTGAAAATAAGAACAAGTGCTCACTTAATTTTTTTTCTGAGGCAATTACTTCACACATACAAAAAGTTCATTCTAGTAATTTTTTCTTTTAGCAAAAAATTTAGAAAAACATTTAGCACATTAAGCAATCAGATAATACCATTTTATAGTCCAGTTAAAGAAAAAAATCACATTCTTGCAAAGCACAGAAGATTACGCTGGCACCTGCAGCGCCAGCATCTCATACAGGCATCAGTTTAAGTCCCAACTGCTGCATTCCCAGCCAGCTCCCTGCTGATGCACCTGGGAAAGCAACGGAAGACGGCCCAAGGGATTGGTCCTCTGCCACCATGTAGGAAATCTGGATGAGGCTCGAGCTCCTGGCTCCTGGGTTTAGCCTAGGCCAGCCCCAGCCATCACAGCCATGTGGAGAAGGGTGACTATGTCGATTTTTCTTTCTCTTCTCTCTCTTTGCAACTGCTTTTCAAATAAAAAAAATTTTAAAATAATTTTTAAAATACCAAGTTTTTCATATAAAAAAAGAAAAATTCTGGGGTCATGCAATGGGTTGGGATGTCCTCATTCCATATCAGACTGCCAGGGTTCAAATCCACCTCTGATGTGACACAGCTCCCCAGGGAAGCACATCCTTCAGGTAGCAGTAACGGCTAAAGTGCATGGTTCCTACCACCTGCACAGACACTTGGGCTGAGTTCTTGGCTCTTGGCTTCGACCTTGCCCAGCCCTGATTGTTGCAGGTTTGGGGGGAGTGAGCCAGCTGATGGAAGATTAGACTCTCTCTTCCTCTCTCCCTTTCAAATAAAGAATAAAACATTTTTTCAAAGATTTGCTTATTTGAAAAGCAGTTACACAAAGAGAAGACAAGAGAATCTTCCATCTGTTGGTTCACATCCCATATTACCCCAATAGTGCAGGCTGTGGCAAGTTGAAGCCAGGAGCCAAAGGTTTCTTCTGGTTTTCCCACATTAGCAGCAGGGACCCAAACACTCGACCATCATCTGCTGCTATCCTGGTGCACTGGCAGGGAGCTGGACTGTAAGCAGGGCAGCCGGGACTCAAACCCACACCCACACAGAATGCCCATACCACAGGCAGCAACTGCGCCAGCCACCCCAAAGCTTTTCTAAAAGGAAAGAACATTTTTTCTGCTTCTATTATGGTCTATTACCACATTTTTATAATGGTATAAAAATTAGATCTTCCATCTGTTTTGTGCAAAAAATTAGACCTGGATATACCAACATCATCCACATTTATCAATGGGTAAGAAGCCTTTGGCGTGTCCTTCTAGAATTACATAAAATAAAGCAGGACGCTATTCTCGAGTTCTTAGAGCTTGTCTTTTTCTCACGTCCTTTGTATTTTCATTTTTCGCAGTATTCATTGGCATGTATGGGAGGAGATGAGTATCTCAATGCTAAACAGTTAGAGGTACATGACAAAAAGAAACTGACTTTGGCTTAGTCTCACTATGAATCCCTTTCCCGAGCCTTATAGAAGTATCTGTTGCTACATCCATCACTGCCAATTGGGAGCTACAAAGGAACAGTCACTTTTTGTAGCCTGAAGATGTCTGCATTTGGATACTGGTGTGAAGACTTTTGTACTGGCACCTGCCTGAAATGGCTGCAAGCAACACAAGATGGTCTGCTGGAAGCAATCTAGAAAAAAAAAAATCTGTTCTTTAAGGCTAATCATGTACATAGTACTTTTAATTGCATTTGTCAAAAAACTAAATCACTATGTCAGAAAAAGGAAAATTAGAAACTTAGTCTGTGTTTCCAGACAGCTTTAAGTAGGAAGGAAGTACCAAGGAGGTTCCAAGCAAGCCTGGCAGGACACACCTGAAAGCAGGCATAGCGGGGAGAAAGCAGGAGGAGAGAGGACAGCAAGCAGAGGCCAGAAGCAGCCAGGTGGGGGCAGGGGCAGAGACAGGAGCAGGAAACACAGGAGACATAAAGAGAAGATACTGACGTCAAGGTCCCAGAGGGAATCTGACAGGTGGAATACTGAGCTCTGAGAGAGGGAGGCTCAGTCTGGAGGAGTGTGAGAGAGAGGACAGTGACCATGAGCATCCCTACAGGGCTCAGGAAAGGGCCAGACCATGCGTGGCAGTGGAGGCAGCGTCTGCACGGGGGGTGCGGAAGGACAAGTGCCTGGGACTCCCACCCCACCAAGTGGGGGTGTCCACCCAGTCAGCTAACAGCCAACTGACACACACGCACACGGAGGACGCAAACATGAGAGGACCACCTAGGGTGGATCCATGGCTGACACGCAGCATCTGCAAGTGTCCCAGGGTAGCTTGGGCAAGTGCTCCTGGCAGCACTGCTGGGGAGGAGTTACCTGGATTGGTCAGCTTTTCCTCCAGCTCAGCTTGCGTTGTGACACTCTCAGACTTGGGGGAGTGGATAATGAGGACCACAGAGCCTGCACAGCTCAGCAGACATCCCAACTTGCCCAGGATGTTGAGCTTTTCCTTCAGAAGGTAAGAAGCTAAAATGGACCTTCAATGACCAAAAACAACATAATCAGAGTTCAAACCAAATTAGCTGGCCTGTTTTTACCAGGTGAATATACTTTAGAAAAGCCGATTCTCGACACAGCTATATCTCATTTTTTCATTTAAGTTTTAAGAAAAATGATTAAGAATGTATTGAAGTTGTAATTTTAATATAAATGGAATTTTCACCCAAATTCCATGAATAACTAGTATGTTGCTTATGGCACTCTTAACTCATGACACTTTATATTATCTTCTCAGTAGCTGAGAAATATACCAGAGTAGAAAAAGATATTTTTTGAAACCAGAAATATTACTTCTTTATTTACTAAGCAAATCATCACGATAATTATGCTAAATAAGAAAGTAAAAAACAAAAAGTGTCAAAATGACTACAAGGAATGCCTGACTTAAAATGTTAATTTGGGGGGGGCAGTGCAATGGTTCAAGTTGCTAATCTTTCATCTACAAGAATCAGAACCCACATCTCTTATGGGCAGCAGTTGGTGTCCTGGCTGTTCCACTCTGATCCAGATCGCTGCTTATGGCCTGGGAAAACAGCAGAGGGTGGCCCAAAACCTTGAGTCTTTGCACCCAAATGGAAGAAACTTTTGGCTTCTGGCTTCAGAACGACTCAGCTCCAGCCATTGTAGCCATTTGGAGAGTGAACCAGTAGATGAAAAATCTTTCCCTATCTCTTCTTCTCTTTGTAAATCTGCCTTTCCAATGAAAATAGATACATATTTTTTTAAAAAATGATAACTTAGGGGGACTGGTGCAGTGGCTCAACAGGTTAATCCTGCACCTTGCAGTGCCAGTATCCCATATGCACACCAGCTGGTATTCCAGTTGCTCCACTTCCAATCCAGCTCCTTGCTTATGACCTGGGAAAGAAACGGAGGATGGCCCAAGTCTTTAGACGCTTGTACCCATGTGCAAAATCAGAGGGAAGCTCCTAGCTCTCAGCTTTGGACCAGCTCAGCTCTGGCTGTTACGGTCACTTGGTGAGTGAATCAGCAGATGGAAGACTTCTCTCTTTGTTTTTCTTCTCTGTGTAAATCTGCCTTTCAAATAAAAATAATAATAGTAACACAAATCCTTAAAAACAAATGTTAACTTGGAGCAGGTGTTCAGTCTGGTAGTTCAGACAGCCACATTCCACATCGGAGGACTTGGGCTCAATCCTCAACTCCATTTTTTAACTCCTGTTACTTCATATTAGTACAAAACCTGGGAGGTAGCTGTGATGGTTCAAATGACTGGGGCCCAATTCCTACACGGAGACCTCGAATGTGTCTCCAGTTCCCAATTTTGGCCCTGGCCAAGCCCCAGCTTTGGGAGCTCTGTCTCTACCTCTACCTCTGCTTTTCAAGTAAGAGACGTGAAATAAATTTTTAAAAAGTGAAAAGCTACAGACAGAAAAAAATAAGTGCTAATAGTATTTGTAGTATGCTAGGACAACAATGCTTATTTTCCTCTAATACTTGACACCCTAAAAGATGGTAACATCATGCTTTTAAATTTATTTATTTACTTATTTGAGAAACAAACAAGGCACTTCCATTTCATCTGCTGGTTCACTTCCTAAATACTTGCATCAGACAGGATGGAGCTGAGCTGATGGTGCACATTAACAGGAAGCCGGAATAAAGATTGGAGCCTGGACTCGATCCCAGGCACTGTGACTTGGGATGTGGGCATCCCCAAGTAGTAGCTTAACTACTGTGCCAAATTTCCACCTCCTAGTTGTGGGCTTTAGGCTACTGTACCGCAGAGTTTAAATAACTCTAAGGTGCAAATCCAAACAGATCCATCACAAACACAACTCTATACAAGGATTTCAGGGTCTATCTGGAATAAAGCAGAAAAAGTATCCATGAGCTTGAATCTTGTGTTTTGTTTCATGTCCTTCAGTACATGTGTCATTCATCTGAAATGCCAGAATTTCCTGCAGTGGGATGAGGGACTTGCCAGCATCCAGCAAGGGAGGCTAAGCACCCCAATAAATCACCAACAAACTCATTTGGCTTTTTGGTATCTCAGGTTAACTGACTGTAGCAATGGGACAGTACCTAAGCCTGAGTGAGTGACAGTATCAGATTCATTGATCTCCATGAATAACTTACAATTTGAAATGAAACAAGGCAAATTTCTAAGAGAAGGGTTAGTGATAAACTTGGAGGGTTAAAATTAAATGACAGAGAAAAACATTGGTGAACTGCCTTCAGTTACACTTTTTACTGCTAGCATTTTACCAGAAACATTTAAAACAAAATATTTTGTTCAACTAAAAACTATGTGTTAAAGTAAAAAACACAATATTTTAGCTCTCACCCAAATGGCACTCCGAGGGCACCCAGGGGAGTCACGAGGACTGTGGGGACCGCCGTGTAAGCCAGGAAGTTTCCAATTTGGCCGACAGCCACTGTCAAGACAATCAAAAGGACATCACTGCAATGACAGAGCTCCCTTTCAGGACGGGTTACAGAGTGGAGCTTCAAAGGATGCTGTCTTTCCCCTGGGAAGAACCAGACCTGGGGTGCCAGTTCTGTGTTGAAGTCTCACGTGGCAGTGAAGAGTCCCCACACTGGTCTCACCTTGGGCAGGCATTGGAGCCCTAACGGACCTGCACAGACTGCTCCATGGCTAGGATGATAGGCACACAGCTGAGTCTAGCTCCAGGCTCACATCCTTGGTCTAAAGGTGCGTTGAGCAGAGCTCCCTGTGTGCCTTCAAATGGCCTGCGACCTACCCAGCTATGCAGCTGGTCCATCCAGTGAAAACCCCACACCCCACACCAGCCTACACCAGGAGCTCCTCCCTAACAGAGTTCAAAGAAAAGCTCTTCAGTGACTTGCCTGAAGAGGAGACAAACACACCACGTGTTAGTTCTGACACTCCTGGTACCGCTGTCCTGTATATATTTATAGTTCTGAATTTTTAAGAATTGTATTACTCATATTTATGTGATGGCACATGGCTGCCTACAAGAAACTCTTTTACATTTCAAGCAATTGGGCTGAGCAAAACCAGGTCATGTAACACAGGGAACGTCACCCAATGTCAACAGTCCACGCACACCTGAGTAAGCTTAGGAGCTGTTTTGGTTTCCTTAGGCCAAGGACAGTGTGACCTGCACACGGTTCAGGACTGATTCGCCTCCAGTGTCATCATTCCACACTCTCCCAGGAAGCAGGAGGAAGCTGGCGGAGGGAGGCAGGCTACCCAACTGGCACACTCTGCTATTCTCCAAAAGCAGAGTCAAGTGCACCCCACGCCCTTCAGTCTCACATCTCAAGAAAGAAAAAGCCCAGACTTTTTCCTCCCAGGCCACTTACTTGCAATTGTGCCAGCCCACCACACAATGTCTGTTAAGTAGGAGGTACCTGCGAAAGAAGGAGATTAAAAATGTCAGGTTTATAAACTGCATACTTCAATTTCTACAAAAGGACTAAAATGGAAAAACAAAACAGAAAAGGGAATGTCCTACCGTTTATCCTCGCTATAAACCCAAGCCTATAAATAGCAGCATGAGAAACCAGTGAGCTGTCGAAGCAGATATGCTTCCAGCCAAGGCAGAGCCGAGAGGACTTGACAAATGCAAGCTATAACGCTTTACAAAAACTGGCTTTCTTCGCCCCAATAAGCTACTACACACATGAAATTTTCTTTGGAGTGGAATTTTATGTTGGTCTCAAATGGAATGAGTCATTCAAGTCCAACTCTCTCAGGCATTTACTAGAAGCCATTTATATGATAATTTTACTATCACAGAGTTCCACGGCTTTCTGTTTCAGTGGCTTACTCAGCTTTCTTCATCTGGAAAGCTTATAGGATTTCCTTTTGAACCATTTGAGCACTAGACGCTTAATCACACAAATCTTTTTCCTAAAGATTTATGCATCTACTTCAAAGTCAAAGCCAGAAAGAGACAGAGAAAGAAAAATCTCTAACTGGCCCACTCCCCATAAAGTCCCCAACAATCAGGGCTGAGTCAAGGGAACCCAGGAACCTGATCCACTGCAGGGGCCCAAACAATTGGGCCACTTTTGGTAGCTTTTCCCAGGCTGTTAGGAAAGAGTTGGATTGGAAATGGGGCAGTCGGGATGTGAACCAGTACCCACAAGCGACGCTGGCAGAAGCGCCAGGGCTTCAGTGCTCGATGTGACACTTCCCCTGGATTCCCTTGTGATCCAGATCTCCCTGCAGGACAGGCAGAACCTGGGCAATTACCTGTGCTCCTCTTGACCTTGGCACTTCTTTCTGCCCCGTGGGACAGGTGCTTACAAGCAGCAACTGTGGGACACATGCCTGTGCTTCACCCTTGTCAAAACGCCTCCAGTCTGAGAGATTCTTCCTCCTTACACATGCATGCACCTCATTTGAAATGGACTTCTTTAAAAGATTTATTTATTTGTTTGAAAGACACAGAGAAGGAGAGAGAGACAGAACAGAGAGCTGTTCCATCTGCTGGCTCACTCCCCAAATGGCTGCAACTAATAGGGCTGGGCCAAGCCAAAGCCTGCAGCCAGAAGCTTCTTCCAGGTCACCCATGTGTGTGACCTGTGCTATTTCCCATTGTTTTCCCAGCTACATTACCCAGGAGCCAGATCAGGTGTGGATCAGCCGGTACACAAATCAGTATTCTAACAGTCAAATGACACCTTGATTGGAGCCTGTGGCTACGACAGGAGTCCATTGCTAGGACTAAGTGCAAAGTCCCTGGAAGAGATATGCTTGCTGGTGGGGCCAAGGTCTGCAAGGGACTGCATCAGTGCCAGGGTGGAGCTTCTCTGCAGGCAGCCTGTGCCACTGCCTGCCACAGCTCGGTCTCAAGACCCTGAGCTATGTTCATTGTGCCTGACACAACTGTCTTGTGTCCTTCTGAACATATGCCACACAAACATGATAGATATCTATCCAGAGTGTCCCAGGAGTTGGAAGGTTTAGGTAAGCCTAAGAATGTGCCATAGTGGACAGAAGTACTAGCTGTTAGTAAAAACAAACAAACAAATAAAACTCAGTGTTACAGTTCCTGAATGTTGCTCATCACACCATGGCTATTTAAGAGAATGTTCCTGCACTCTGCAAAATGCATGGACATGTTGTCGTCCTCGGCCATACCACCCTGAACGCGCCTGATCGCAAAATGCATGGACATTTTCTAAGGGTGATCAACTCTGTGTTCAGAACACTGGTATGAGAGGCCCCAAGGACCAGTTACCCAGCAAAGCTATTCTAATGAATTAGAGTATTAAAAACTAAATTGAAAGTATCTGGAAATTACCTTTAGACATAGAATAAATATCCCCTTTTTCAATCTTCATTTTAGTAATTTGGTTTTGGTTCTTCTTTTTTACTTAGTCAGTTTAGCAAGAGGTTTCATTATTCTTTACAAAGAATCAATTTTTGGGTTATTATTTTTATTGTTTTTTCATTTTCTGTCTCATTCTACTTGCGCAGTAGAGTATTTGGGTTTCATTTGCTCTTTTTAATTTTAGTGTTTTAAGGTGGACAATTGGATGCTGATTGAAATATTTTTATCTCATTTATTTAGTTTTAATTGAAACACAGAAAGGAAGGGAGGGAGGGAAAGAGAGGTGGAGACAAAAGGAGAGACGAGGGAGAGAGCGAGGAGAGTAGGGGAAGAGATCCCCACCCCCTGCGCTCCTGAAGGCCTGCAGCAGCCAGGATTGGGGAGCCCAACCGGATCTTCCATGGGAGTAGCAGGAAGCCAAACTACCTGAGTCATTAGCCATGCCTTGCAGGGTTCACGGCAGCAGGAAGATGGAACTGTGAGCAGAGCAAGACTCCAAATCAAGCATTCCACTATGGCCTACAGACATCCCAAATGATGTTCCATCTGACCATCTGTTTAAATATATATATGTGTGTGTGTGCATATACATATGTCACCATGTGTATGTATGCATATATAGTGATATTCGCAGCTATACATTCTTTAAATTTTAAAAGTTTTACTTATTTGAAAGTCAGTGACAGGTAGGCAGAAAGCTCCCATCCATTGGTTCACTCCCCAAATGCCCACCATGTCCATGACTGGGCCAGAATTCGAACCAGGAGCTGACAACTCAATCCAGGTCTCCCACACAGAGGTAGGAACAAACCTACACAAAACACTGCCTCCCAGGATCTGCTTTAGCAGGAAGCTGGAATCAGAAAGCAGAGGGAGAGAACGAGAGAACCAAACCAAGGTCCACCAATGTGGAGCTAGAAGAGAAATGGAGCAGCCAGGACACAAACCTGCACCCATATGGGATCCTGACACATACAAGGCAAGGGCTTTAGCACGAGGTTATTGCACTGGACCCTTCTGATAGCTCTTATGGTTTCTCTGACTCAGTGTTTATTTAGAAGTGTGTTTGTTCTTACTTATTTATGAATTTCACAAATTTGCCCTCTACTACTATTTATACATTTTGTGTGATTTCAGTTCAAAGAACTGATGCCTGTATAATGGCCTACCACATGATTTATCCCCATTTATCTGTATCATATTCACTTGAAGATATGCTGTTGACTTGGGATTGTGTTTTACAGATGTCTGTTAGATCTGCCTAATTTATATTTCTGCTCAAGACTTCTACGTTCTCATTGATCTCCCCAGGTTTTCAATCCTTTATTAAAAGTGGGATATCAAAGCTTCCAACTATGACTGTTGAAATATCTCTATTTCTCTTTATAATGTCAATCTTTGCTTCATATAATTTTGGGATTCTATGGTTAGGTGCATATATATCTTAAGTTGCTATGCTGTTCTGATAACCAATATACTGTTACAATGTCCTTTGCTTCTCATTAGTTGTTGTCCCAAAGTCTTCTTTGCGGGATTTTGGTACAGCCACTCCAGCTTTAATGTGTCCAAAAATAGATATGTTATTTCGAATGACTGTCAACGTATTTCATTTTATAATAACCTGGAGCTCATTTTTGTGGAAGATCTATTCAGTAATTTCTGTAATGGATTTTCAAGTTCAATGTGCAATACAAGCAAGATTATAGAGACCAAGACTTAACAAGGTGATCATAACTTAGCCTATGGTAAGAGAGAAGAGAAAAAAGGTGGTCTCCTTTTATTGATGAATGTAGTCTGGTCACAAGTTCCTATGAAGTCCCCAAATTAGCACCACAGCAGTAGGGAATGTGCCCTGGGGCAGTGAAGTTGATCCAAAGATGTCCGTGGCCAATGTAATGGGATCCATGCATCTTTCCCTTTTATGGGATGGTTTCCCAGCACCGTTGGCCATTATACAGTACCATTTTTGGTGGTTTGAAACAGACCACATTACCAAAATGGGGGGAACCTGGGATCCCAGGTACCTAGGAAGGAGGCAGAAACAGGCTTTTGTTTTCCCTCTACTAAGGGACTTGGTTCATTCCAAGCATTTCAGGCTTTCTGTTCCTATTCCTCCACAGGAGCTTTGTTGAAACTCAGTAGGATTTAGGTCAAGCTCACATTTGAAACCATTAGGCAAAATGGTTAAGCAAGTCAAGATTCTGTCCAGATACCTGGTCCACACCCCAACACCTACGCCAACTCTCACTCCTAGACTGAAGAGAGGCTCCTCATGTGTTCTCTGAGGGCTGCAGACCTGGAACAGGCACTTGTTCTGCCCCGAAGAAAGTGCACAGCTCCACCTGAGTGCCTACTTCCTCCCTAAGCCGGCTGCTCCAGATTCCCTCCCTTCGCTGGACCCAGGAGCTGCTGGGAAATCACGATCTACAGGGGTTCCAGCCCCTGACACAGATTTTTGTGGTTGTTGTTACACCTGAAAACCACAGGTTTCTTCATATTTTCACCATCTGATGTCACTGTCCCTGAGGATCCTAATGGTACTCAGCCAGCACCTGCAAGAGGCACCTGTTCAAGTATCTACCCACGTACCTCCTCATCTGCTGGCATCAGCCAGAACAATGAGCCACAAAAGCAAAGAATGTTGAAGATTTTCTGCTTATTTTTACCACATTCATGCGTCTTCCCCTCACTCCCGGGTATGGGCTGCAGATGTAACAGTGGTTCAGTTCTAGGAGTTTTCACCTCACCTTAAAAACATTTGTGTTTTTGGGCCCGGTGGCATGGCCTAGTGGCTCAAGTCCTTGCCTTGCACGCCCCGGGATCCCATATGGGCACCGGTTCTAATCCTGGCAGCTCCACTTCCCATCCAGCTCCCTGCTTGTGGCCTGGGAAAGCAGTTGAGGATGGCCCAAAGCCTTGGGACCCTGCACCTGTGTGGGAGACCCGGAAGAAGTTCCTGGATCCTGGCTTCGGATTGGCGCAGCATCAGCCATTGTGCTCACTTGGGGAGTGAATCAATGGATCTAAGATCTTCCTCTCTGTCTCTCCTTCTCTCTGTATATCTGACTT